TGAAATTAAGGGTTAATGTTTTTTTGCTATAGTTGTTAAATATTCGTTCCAATGTACAGTGTAAGGATGGAAATGCCCCCCATTTTACTGTTTAGTTCAGTTTTATTTTCTCGCCTGCACAGTTGAATGATTAAATTGCCCATGGGACACGTGTGGTTTTTCTGTGTTCATGAGCGCTTTTTTTGACAGCCTTCCTCCTCTATAAACGGAGACTCTATCAATAGCTCCTTAGATCATTTTTAAAGGAGATGTTAAATTTTGATTTTACAATTTGAATTTGAAGGCTTAAGTGATATTTGGACATTTTTAAACTTTTAATCTCTAACTAATACGTCAAATTTTAAACATAAAATAATAATTCATATGTATTTTCTTTGTATTGAGAATGAAAATAAAAAAAAGATAATGGTTTAAACTAATAAAAAATTAATAAAAAGCATTTAATAATTAATTAAACAAATCTCAACGTGCTGTCAAATTTGACAGAGATGTCAATCCATGTCATACCACATCAGATTTAGCTTCTCGGTTGAAAAATATTAATGTTGTCTTTTATTGCCATATTGCTCATTTGAACATTTTAACGTCTCATTTGGAGATGGTGCTACAAAACCACCGTCTTTTCACCCAGACTACCGCCACCACCAGTTCACCAAAATCCGACGCAGCGGTAGCAGTGGGTTTCATGAAGGGTTGTTTGCGTTGGGGTTGAGCTTGGAGCAGGGGAAAGCTGGGTTTCGGAAGCACGAGGGGCTTCTGGGAGCGGGGAGCGGGGAGCGGTTTCAAGACGACGTCGTTGATAGTCTAACCTCATGTGAAAAATGTAAGATTTTGTCTGGGTGGTTTTGTTTTGTTAATTCGAAAGTTTAACACTTCAGATACTTTAATTATAAGTTAATCAATGTTTTTTAATTAGCTGTTTTATTTGTTTGCTTAATAAGCAAGAAGACAAAGGAAGCAAGCAAGGAAAACTGGAAACTTATAAGAAATTGGGTGAGATTCAAGTAGTTCTTTCTGACAAGAAGTGGGTTATAAGAGGATGCTTTTGGGTTCCTTAACAGAAAACTCACAATTTTGAGTCATATAAACCGATTTCCTTAAGCATTCTGCATGTCAGAGAAAATGGAAGCATGTGAAAAGTGATGGGTTCGCATGTGATTTGAGAGAGAGAGAGAGAGAGAGAGAGAGAGAGAATCTATCGGATATTCGATTTAGAGTTTTATATATGTTTGATAATTTGGCATCTTGGGTATGCTCTGTTTGGACGCGAGCGGATGGACTTGAGAAAGATGAGATTTTTTATTGGGGGAGATTGTGATGGAGTGGAAAGAAGCATCCCCTTCTGTGATCTGGCCAGCAGAAAGTGCACAAAGAGACAGAGAGAGCTGATAGATACAGACCAACCACTACAACTCATCTCATCTTTGCCGCGTTATATGATATTGAGGGCATAACTTTTTTTTTTCACTGCCATCCAAAGGTTGGAAAAGCAAAGTCAATAACCCAAATTATCATCACACAAAGAAATAAAGTGCAAAATCCAAAATTAACCTATTGGAAAAACGACTCCAAAGGCATAAAATATAAGAAATCCAATTAAGTTTAGAGTCCAAAAATTCAAACAAAAAAATGCTAATAAACAATAATATTATCTCAAAAATTCTAAAAATCTGCAGCAAAGCGCGTGCATTTTTGCTAGTTATGAATGAAAATTGATAGGGGTAATTGATAACTCTGTGTGTCAGGATGTACTTGTGATGTAGATTTAGAACCAGTGGCTTATGTTTTCAAAGATTGTCAAGAGAAGTTTGTCAAAGGTTGGGAATGTATAATCAACAGTCAGACTACATTGATTTTCATGATTGATTTTATTTTAATCTTACTAATAAATCTTTCATATTTGGGGTTCAAGGTGGAGGTTAGTTTTTTCCCTTGCTTGTTGATTTATTTGGTATTGACGAAATAAATTTATTTTGAGCAAGACTTTACAATGACTGATGAGCCTATAATTGTTATTTGTATTTATCTTCTTGAATGGTTGAAGGCAAATACTCACAAGATTGATAAACCACATAGGATTGAATCTTTGCTCGTTATTCGTTTGGATTGGCTTAAGCTTAATGTTGATGGTTGCAAGAAGGGAAGTAACAATTCTATTGTAGCAAGTGGTCTTTTGAAAGATTCTAATGGTAAATTAAATTTTAGGTTTCGCGCCAATTTGGGCACAGGTGATATTCGCACTGCTGAGCTATAGGGTCTTACCTTGGGCTTACAATTGGCATAGAGATTACAGATTGAAGAATCATTGGTGGAATCAGCCTTTGCAGTCACAGTTCATTTAATGTTGCAAGCTGCTAGCAATAAACATCGTCTAGGTCCCCTTGTTTTGGCTTGTCGAGATTTGCTTTCAAGACTTTGGCATAGCGAATTCAACATGTCTACAGAGAAAATAATTTTGTGCCAGACAGTTTAGCGACCTACAGTTTTGATTTAGATTTAGGTAATTTTTATTTTAATAGTCCTCCTTGTTTAGTTAGTTTTCTTCGTGAGAATCCACTTGAGATGTCCCGGATTAGATTTATTATTGAGTAGGCTTATTTGAGTTTTTGCTTTTAGCCCCATTTTTCAACCAAAAAAAAAAAAAAACAATTGATACGAAAGGATTTTTTTTTTCTAAAATCAATAAATAATTTTCTTTTGCGTCTTAAAGGAAATTAGTTGAACTGTGAAATGAAAAAAAAAAAAATTATTTATTTAAGGAAAATTGATAATTTTTTACCTTCATGAGCCAAAATTTTCTTCGTTGTAGTTACTTCTTAAGTCATGTAATTTATTATTGTTTCTTTCAAATACAAATATTCTTATGTGTTCTTTGTTGTAGTATTTCTTAAGTCAAATTTGATTTCTCGGTAATTTTCACTATACAAATAATCTAGCTAGCGCGCTATTCATTGTAGGTACCTAAAAGGAATTTTCAAACCATAATTTCCTAGCCAGGTTTTTAGACGACAATTAAATGAATCATAGAAATGTATACTTAGAAAACATTGTGGTGTATTCCTTGTAGTTTACGTAATAAGTTGTTTTCTTCTAGGTTAAATAGTGGTTTGAGATTAACTTTTTAGACAATGCAGAAGAGTTTACAATGGCGTAGTAGTATGTATTGTTCGTTGTAGTCGCCCACTTAATCGAATGTTCTAAACAACACTTACTAGTTTATCTATTTGTACATAAATTTCTTTACAACTTTTTAAATAGTGTGATCAAGCTCACAACTAGTTTCAACACAATCAAACAAAAGTGTTTTTTCTTGCAACGGACGGCAAGATCCCAAGTTAGGGCCTTACCAAGGCTAGAAAGTTTGCCTTCACCTGAATCGTAAATGTTACATAACCAATCCAACAGGCCCAACGGATTATTAACATTTACAGATGATATCCGGGATTTGAAGTCCAAACTTGGCTTGCACGATTACGGAGATGACCTTGATCCTCTTCCTCTGTACTACAGAAAGATCAATTACACCATGACATTGCCTAATTTGCGAACCCTCTTGGGTTCATTGCTGCTCTTTCCTCTTCTACTTCCCGACCATGTCATCACTACTGCTAACCTTGCGCGGCTTGGATTGCACCGCAAGCAACATAAGCCAAGGTTCACCGCCAGTCCTTGGAAGCGCGCTCGTGCCATGTTCTACGGAGGAGGCTCTAGAACATTTAGTATGAAAATTGACGTACTTTAAACACCAAACCCAATTCCCCAAAGCCCTCAAGCCTCATTTGTGATTGAACACTTCAGCTCATTAGTACTTTTCCTAGAACTTCTTTTATTAAATTCAAGTTGAAACTTTTTATTAAAAATCCGAGCTGAAGCGACGCGAGGCACTGGTCCTCGTGGCATGTAGGAGTAGCCTCAAGAATTGACAGCACGGACAGGCCTTCAAAGGCAAGAAAATCAGGTACGAATGAACATAAACAGCGACTCTACACTCAAACTTCCCTAATATGCGAAGCCTTGTGTCAAAATTTCTCAACTCTACGTGTAAGGTACACATTATTGGGTTTGTAGCTCTGTTATGAACATTGCGGTCAAAATGTTTGCTACCGTTTACCGGTCATATGATATTGTTTGTTCTCAATGTTGTCCAAATTTCACTTGTTTGAGTCTAAAGTCAATTGATTGTATTGTGTGAGATTATTGAGAAATCGAGCTGAACTTGCATTTTGAGCGGTGGCTTTATGCCAAACCTCCACACAATGGGTAGCCTAATTTGGTATCGAATTCGCCATCCACGAGATTCGAACCTAAGTCCTCTCACTTCCAAGTGAAGTGGAATACCACCAGACCATAGTACTGAGTGGCTCCAAACCCATTATTATATGTATATGTTTGCAATCCATTTCCATTGCACGTGGAAATGGGCAGGGAATGATCAACTTGCAGCTCTTTAGTTCCTTATATAAAGTATGCAATGGCAAAGGGAAGGGGACAGTCAAACAACTTAACAAATTACATTCTTCAAATATAGCCTCTTAGCATATAAACAAAAGCCTCTCGAAAAGCAATCTTAACGCAAGTTTTCTCCAAGCATTTCCAAGAGATGGTTCTCTAAGGTCATCTCAAATATCAAGTAGTTTTACTTTCTTTCGACTCTCACAATCAAAGCAAAGCCTCCTATGACAAAGCTCTTGATTTCATTCTCTTGTCTTATGCAGCTTTTCTCTTATGAATTCCTCTTGTCATAGCTGCTAGGTCAATACAATATCCCTCCGAATTATTATTGTCATTTCAGGACAAGCTTTGACTCAACATTCACATATTTTGATTTAAATTATCTACATATGAAAAGTCCTTATCATATCAGGCAGGTAGTAGGAACCTAAGTTGAACCTCTCCCACTCAATGACAATCTTTTGTTATAAGTCAATTAAGCGTAATCTTTATCACTCAAATCCCGTCTGCTAGCGGTAACTAGTACTGACACGCTTGCAATCACCAAATTCATGTTCAAGTAAATTTTCAGCCTACATGGAAGGCCCATGGTGAATTTTGGGGATCAATTTAACATCTATTTACAGAGCGCAAATGCAATTAATCCAATACTGACAAGAGTTCAGCAGTGACAAAGCAATCCAAACAGAACCAGAAAATCAGTAAAATGCCATAGTTTCTATCTACATATATACAAGAGGAAGCCGCTGGTACAACAGAAACCCTGTACGTCGATCAGATCATATGCCAGCCTGCTGTGACTGATGCAGTTGGGAGGAACCACAGAGATCTCATCCCTGAACCCAAACAAAACAAGAAGACTGCAGTTAGGCTTCGATTATTTGTAGTATCGACACTGTAATTAGGCTTTGATTATTTGTAGCATCGACACTGTAACTGTATTGCAGACTCCCTTTGAAAGTTCTTAAAGCATTTGCAGCAGCATGAGCAAATCAAACTCACTTTGACTATAAACTGAGAGAAAAAATAGATGTTTGGCTCTGGCCTATTCAATATCTTCCAATTAAAGTAATCTAGAAATATCAAACAATTGAGCAGAGAAGAAGACATGATGTGCTAACTGATATAATGACTGCGTTAAGAACATAGTTTCCACGGAGTCATAAGATAGATGGTGAATAATAACGAGGTGAAAGCAATTGTGATAATTCACATTACATCTTATTTTATAACAAAGAAGCTCTTAATCTAACACACGCAACATTGATCAGATATCAGCCAAGATGAAAAGGCGTAGGAGAATAATTTGATAATCGCATAAAAGAGCTTACAAGGACTTACTAAAAACCAAAATCCACTGAATTGAAGAGGAGACGTCTTTTGTTTCAAAAATGAAATAAAACAACACAATAATCAGTTAAAAAAGTACCTTAATCAAATGCATAGGGATCATCTGCATATGGATTTAGAGACCCTTCTGAAAACAAGTCACCAATGGTTGATGGTTGTGGTTGACCTCCTCCCTTAGATCCCTACAAAACAAGTATAACAAATTACACTTTCTCAAATGCGATTCAAAAGGAACACCGCAGTAGTATAATTTTACATGCAAATCCAGGTTTTCAAATAGCTCAATACATTATAGAACTTCTAAATTATCATCGCATGTTTCCAATCGATAACTTTTGTTTCCCTTCATATATTCATCGTCGTGCTATTAATACCATTATATAAGCCAAGCCAAAACAAATTGGGAAGGAAAAACATGAAAAAAAAGTATCTGGATTTCTAATGTTTAGAGGATGAGGAATCTCGCAGAAATATCTCTTAAAAAGACTTAAAATGAAGCAAAATGAACTCAATTCCAACATTAGTACAGCCAGCCAAACCCTGCCCTGCCCCTGTGTCCTCTATTAACTATCTAAACCTCATCTTGTCTCTGTTCCAAGGAAGAGCCATAATGAGTTCATCAGGCCTTGCCGTTGTGCTATAAAGAGGTTCCGAGCAATATTGAGGTATGACAAAGTGGAAGCATCACCAGGGATTATAAAAACTGAAGTAGATAAGTAATCATTTTAACTTCTGTTACCTTAACAACAATCCTGGGAGTAGCAACTTTTGGTGTTCTCGTCCTTTTATGTTTTGTTGGATCCTGGTGTTACATATATATATATAATTCAGTACAAGATAATGTCCACACAAAAGATATGAAATTCTAGAGGTTTATTGATTTCATATACAAAACATAGCTGTTATATATTCACTGAAATAATCAGGTACATACTTCAAACATTACTGTGCTTCTTGTTTTCCTTCGTTTCGTGATTGTTCTTCCATTACTAGTTTCAACTTCATACTCCCGATGAGTTACCTGGCATGAAGTAAGTTGAGGAGGTAGAGGGAATAATGCATGAATTGATCAAACAATATCGGTAGGCAACATTAAACTCTTCAAACAACCACCAGTGCAACCGCAGATAAGTTTTATATGATATCTTCTTTTTCAGTACTGAGATGCATTTATAAGTTTATAACCTATAGAACAGAGTTGTTTTACCATTTAAGAATACACTAGAAGGCAAAACTAGTACAGAAGTTATATACCTTTTTGTGATTCTGTGGAATACTCAGTACACTTCCTGTGTTTATGTTCTCTACTTTCTTCAACAACTTTGACATTGGTGTTTGTGTTACTTCCAGTAAAGGTGACTCCTATCAATGAAATAGAATGACACATAACACATATCATAATCCTTCATATCTTTATTTTGCAGTGATGAAAAATAAAGTAACGTGATTTTTTCATTATTGTGCCAACCTTTCCGTCGTTCTCTGGTCTTACAAGAGAATGCTGACTTCTTTTTCTACTAACCGTGTTTCTCATCTGCCTTGAAGAAATGGAGTAATCCTGAGACAGAATGAAGTCATTAAGATCATAGAATTTCTGATTAGTTTCTCTTTTTGTGCATATACTCCCGATAAGATAATTTACGCTTCAACCACAAAAAAAAAAAAAAAAAAAAAAAATCTTAACAATATGCTTTCCAAGTCCCAACTGCCATGATCACTATGTTAACCATAGTCCTCATTGTTTCAGACCACAGTGTTTCCCAGTTCCCAACTCCCCCCATCCCTCTCCCTCTGTGTGTGTGTGTGTGAGAGAGAGAGAGAGAGAGAGAGAGAGAGAGGGAGAGAGCGGGACAACTAAGGATGCACTTGAAAAGTCATTGTGAGAAACATAAGCAGATGACATTGCTACATCCGCGCATACAGAAAATATTGCAGATGATGCAAACAGAATGCCCATAGAAGATACCAGCACTAAAATTACTATGAGACTTGAATCACGTGTAACCTAGTTTGATAGGGATAAAACCAAAATTGAACACTGGTGTAGTAATCTTAACTAAATCAATGCCATACAGTTTAAACAACATTTTAGTTCAATTTCCACAGCCACAGTAATCTATCTGGACAAAAATTAAGATTAACCAATACATCCAATCAATTGCACCTAAATAACTTAAACTAAATTTATCTGTGTTAGTGGATATGAGAGAGAGAGCGATCAATTTTTAAGCCAACCTTCTTTGAATTCACTTCCTGGTCCTCTTGTGGCTTATTACCCATAACTCTCCACTGCATTTGCAGTAATGCCCTCTGCTTCTCCTCCTGTAATAATCATCATTCCGAAAGTAAAAGGTACAAAAAAAAATAAATTATTTAAAGAATTTGTGGTAGATATGTACTTTGGACTTTTGAAGATCCAATTCACCCTGCAGCTTTCTACACTCATCTTCATGCTGAAGCCTCAAACCTCTCAGCTCGGCTTCATGTTCGCTCCTCATTGAAGTTATTTTCTATGAAAATAATAAACTGGTCAGTAAAGTAAGCATATAAAACTCTATTTAAATTAGCAGTTCCAACTTAATTCAGAGCTATTTGAACCTCTCTTAATTCGTTTTCAGCTTGCAGTTGGAAATGCTTTAGCTCTTCGCTGTGTTCAGATTTTAGATTCAGTTCCTTCCTATCATGTTCCTGCTGAATGCGACTGACCTAAACAGCATCAAGTATGAAAGTCAATATTATTCTAAACCAAATATGCTAAATTAGACCTTGAAGTAGAAACGTAGTCATAAGCATCAATGGTAACACCTTATCAAATATGTAACTCCCATATTAAATTTGGATCAATTCCTTATAAAATTTCACATTCATCAATAAACTGCAGATAATCTTTTTTAACAGGTTAGCTATTAATCCAAAGAGACTGAGCAATAAAATAATTTTTTTTTCCAAACTACAGTTGACAGATGCTGAGAATTAAGGGTGAATGCCAAGAACGAAATTTCTGTATAATCTGATACAAGTTCAGAGGTATTTACTAGTTAACATACGCAAAAGAATTACAACTCTTAACTGAAAGTAAATGTTTCATAATGTCAGAAATGGGTTAGAAACCAAAAAATGTGATTTGGTAGTAAGATACCAAACAAATGCATCATAGGAAAAAAATTATTATCAATTTGATATTTATAGCAAGCACCACTTTCCCTCACTTACCAGAGTAGTGTGTTCCTCCTGAACGTGCATCAAGTACTGCCTCGATTCTTCTTTGCATTCTTCAAGTTTTTTCTCACATTCTTTCTCCCTTTCTCCAACAAGTTTTTCAGCCTGAAGTTTCAAATGGATTACTATTGAAGAACATGATTTATTTCTTAACAATTGCAACAGATGATAACAATGAGCTAACCTTTTCCTTTTCCATGTTAACTATCTCCAGCTTCTCGACCTCATACTTCTTCCGGATGTCATTAATTGCCTAATTAAATCCCTCTTACTGTCAGTACTTTGTTACTAAAACTACCTATGTGGTATCCATATAAGTTTATTGCAAGAAATAACACCTGATCATTCCTCTGAGAGATATCTTTCAAATGCCTTGATAATTCCAGTTGTTTACTCTCTAGCATGAGATCATATTGCTTCTTATCTTCCACAAGTCTACTTTCAGCAGCGGTCAACAATGCCTTGTTCTGCAACAAATTACAGAATCATAAATAAATGCAGAATTGTATTATGCACTCCACACATTCTCAATTTCTCACTGAATTCAAACCTCTGAAATCTGTTCTTCGAGATTCTTCTCTCGTTCCTTATATTCCAGAATAAGTTGCTCCTTTTCCTCTAGCATGCTCTGGAGCTGGTTGACTTGTTTATCCATCAGATCCACTTGCTCTTCATGTTTTTTACCTTCCTTTAGTAGACCGTCTATTTGTTCATCTTTTTTCTGTGTCTCTGCTTGTAATTTCTCTGTATTATCTTTATTCTCAGTTTCTAAAGCTGACATTTTCAGCAACAGATCTTGCTGCAAGGTATAAAAATAAAGCTTAATATGGAAAAATTGCATCTCTAGTAATAAAATGAATGTGTGGGAACTTGCTAACCATTTTATTCTCTGACAATCTTAAACTTTCTGACAGAGAATGAATTTGCAGTTCTAATTTGGAGACCACCTTCTCTGTTTCAATCTTCTTTGAGACCTGAATCTCTGCTTCAGACTCCAAATTCTCTATCCTCTCTCTGGCTATACTGCATTCCTCTGATAGTTGTGCCATAACAGACTCCTGAACTTTCTGAAGTTCGATGACCTTATTGTTCAACTCCTGATTTAGCAATTGTATAGCATCTTTTTCTGATGTTATGTTCAGAAATGCATCATGCAGTTGATCATACTGTCTCTGAGCAAGCTTGGCACAAAGGTCTCTCTCCTGCTGGACCATCTTGAAGCAAGTGTCGTAGAGAGAGTTTAGCTTATCAAACTTGTCAAGAAAATCCAAACTTTGTTTATCCAATTCAGCCAGGTGTGCAGCCAACACATGAACGAACCCTTCAAGGTTTCTTATCTCAAGGACTGACATATCGAATCTCTTAACAAGGTCATCGTTGCTCAACTGAACATTGTGTTTTTCCATTTCCAAGTTCTCCTGAGCAGTTATCAAACGTTTAATTTCATCCTCTTTTAACTTTAACTCAAGCTGCACCTCACCCAACTTAGAGTTCAAACTCTCTGTAGCCAACCTATTAGTTGCTAGAGTTGCCTCAAAGTTCTTAAGCATGGCATCTGCAAGGAAAATACAAGAATGACTGCCTTTATAAAAGCAATTCCATGACAATTTGAAGTACATATTTTTGTATTGCGTTCAACAAGCTCAAGGTGCAATTGGTTTCTCAATGACTGCAACATGGAGGTAAGAACTAAACATATTGTCAAACATCTCTCTCTTTTTTTCATTGTCAGCAGTGCATGCTATTATACTTAGACAGTAGATTATTGACTATTAAAAATGTACTGCCTGATCTAAAACAAGTTTTAAGAGAAAATTTCTAGGTTCAAGTGGAAAAGAGTTTCATCTTCATCTGCCGATGAAGTAGAGAATGGTGAACATTTAAGACTAGTAGAATGTTATAAGCATACTCTTTAAGAGGCTTCAGGGGTAAGAGGAACATTGATAGAATTGCCTAACTTGAGTTTATATCTGTTTTCACCAGTACGAGTCAGAATGTTGAAAGTTACAAGGTGAAGTCTATACACCAATGTATTTGACTATCACTTAAGGGTATGAAACCATATACAAAATCAACTTATGTTGAAGGCTCCCCAGATCGTAAGGGAAAACTAATGCACGAGACGTATTCCATATGCCAGATTGATTCCATCTCCCTTTTGGAGGTAGGATGTAAGTTATTCAATGAAAGTAAAATGCTTTCTAAGAATGAGCTTCAACCATCTTCAAAATCAGTGAACAAACAAATTGATCCCCTGGTAAAGTTCCATGACTATAATCTAAAATTCAGAAAACTTGTCTGGTTCAATTAAGTGATAACATCACCTCTAATCTTAATGCATTAGATGTTTACCTTTTTCATCTATGAGATTTGCATTTCTTCTTCGCTCATCTTGATAAGATCTATCCCTTTCTTCATTATCAATTTTGAGTTCCTCAAGCTCCTTTTCACCTACAATTAGGATTTAGAAACATCACAGAACAGCAGATGAACCTTTATCCAGTCATACAATACATCATCCATAGATTCTAAAGTTCAATATTCTCTCAGAAAAACTGAAATCTAAATGAATTGGGGGAAACAGCTTACGGTTCCTTATAAGTTCCTCTGCAGACTCTAATTTTAGAGATAGACCATCCATCTGCTGATTTAAACCGTCAAGAGCTATGGAACTTGCAGAGAGTTTGCATTCAAAGGACTCTTTATCTTTCTCAGCTGTTAAAGAAAGTTAACGATAAATACAGCTGCGATCAAAAGCAAAAATGAAAGGTCAGGGAGCTCAAAATTATACTTACCATCCTGAACCTGACCAGCTAAAAGCTGCAAAGTTTCCGTCAGTTGATCGCACAGAGTTTTCGTTGAAGAAAACTTAGACTCCAATCCTTTCCACATCTTTTCGTCTTCCTTCTGCTTCACCTTAAGCTTAGCATTTTCATTGAAAGCATTCTGCAATTTTTCCTCTAATGCACGAATATGCTCCACTGATTTTTTCAGCTTATTGTTCTGAATTTGTCATTTAATTAGTTGATCAGATAACTTCGAATTTGTATTCTTACATATATCTATCTGTATTGACAAGAAATTGAAACCCTAACTAATCGAAGCAGATTGTGAGACGCAAAAATCAAACCGCACAAATGCGCAATCATACATTCACACGCACAGGTAGAGAGAGAGTGATCGATAGAGAGAGAAACAGAGAGAGAGAGATACCGCCATTTCGAGATCAGTTTTCACTGAAGCTTGCTCTTTCACTAATTTCTCTGTAATCGAAATAAACAACAACGGATCGTCAACAAAAACTCCGTGATTCCGAAAAAATAAACCAAAAATTCAATATTTTCAGTTCAAAACCTGCAGTGAGCTTCAAATTTGCGAAGCTTCCCGAAGCGATCGAATCTGGAGGACGCGAAGAGTAAGAGAATATCTTCGGAGCTCCTGAAACCGATTTGGAGAGGGACTTGAATTGATCCAAGTTCCTCATGCCCGGAAACCCTAGCTTTTGCATTTTCGAAACCTAAATTTGATCGCGCAGAGAAAACCCTAGAAATTTGTCTAACGATTTCTCTTTCTCTCTGGAGCTCTGCGAGTTCTGGAGTTTCAAATGTACAGTGAAATGAAATGTATTTGGCGCCAAAGTAATGCTATAATATATATAGTTTTTTTTTTTTTTTAAAGGGATTAAACGTCGTGCAAGTTTTATTTTGGAAGTTTTAACAAAATATTTTTGGTAAGAAAAATAATATTTTTACTTTAAAAAGTTATTCTGATATTATTCATTTATAACACTTTTTGTTTTTTTATTAAAATTTAAAATTTTCAAATTCTTTTCATTAGTTTTTATTTTTATTTTTTATGATAACTAAAAAATAGACAAGATAATGCTTAATTCAAATGTCAGTGGTCTAGTGATAATATTAAGTTGGTCTTGTAAATGAGAAGTCTTTATTTGTGGATGATGAATTCCTTGAATACGAATTCGATACTTAAATTGTATAAATTTGTGTTTACCAAGAAATTTTAAGATTTATATTTTTCTCGATGTTAGATATAATACTTTTTGTTTTGTTATTTCACCAAGAAATTTAAAGTCATTCGCATCTTGTGTTTGTATTCAAAACCATGTTGTTTATAGTTTTGTTGGTGTTAAAATCAAACCGAGTCGTACTTGTGTCTACGCGTGATTTACCTCAACTCTTATTTTCATTCTCAATGCCAAGAGATGGCTTGAGATAAAGTATGAGAATATGTGTGCCACTGTTGGAGACTACCCACAGACAATGTGTGTGCGGTGATTTGTAAGTTTGCGTTTAGATCTGACTTCTTAACCAAACAACATAACACCAAATGAAATGCTATTAGGTTTTTTTATGCCTGTAAAACCGAGAACTTGAAATCTTGTGTATTATGCTTTGCCTAATAACGTAAATGGATGAAAAGTATAAATGAAAATTTGAATGTAATCATTTCATTGGTCGAAGCAAGATTACAATTATTTAAGAGAAAACTTATGGCTAATTAAACTTGGTACTTTCTTGCATGATTTAGTAACCAAACACTAAACAACACTACCATAACGGGTTTCAGGTCATGTTAAGTAATTGGGTCGTTATGAGTCCTTCATTAATAATGGACTCTTAACTAATCTATCCATCGATAACCCACTTCAACTCATTAAAAATATGTTAGTTTGGTAATTTTAAACTACTAAAAATAAATTTACTGCAGTAGTCATAGGATAAGTGAGAAACTGACATTAAAAATCTCACTTGTCCTATAACTACTGTAGTAAATTTTTTTAATAGTTTAAAATTATCAAACTAACATTTTTTAATGTTGGTTAACGTGGGTTGCAGTGCTCAACATCAGTCAACCGTCAAGGGTAGCCAACTTTGACCGCTCATTATGGAATTTTTAATGTAGTTTTTTTTTCCTAAAAACACCGATGAACATTAAAAAATTCATAATAATTAATTTACAAGTGTGAAAAATGTGAAATAATATGCAAATGCTCATGATCGTATCTTCTACATTTTGACAAGGGGTTCATTGTCGTTTAGCTTTTTAAAACCCTCTAAACTCTCATGAACAGTGTTTTTAGGGAGATTTCAATATAATTATTTACATTCATAATAATTAATGTGTGAAAAGAATACACAAACACTCGTGATTGCATCCTCTACAATGGTTACATCGTAGTTTAGATTTTTACAACCCTCCAAGCCTCATGAATAGTGTTTTTTCTTTGAGCGAAAAATTAATAATAATTAATCTACAAGTGTGAAAATGCAAAAAATAAAAACACTTGTAGTGACAAGCTCTATAACTTTTTAATGAAGGAGTCAACTCTGAAATTCAACATCATAATCCATAAAATCCTAGATTTATATTTAACTGTCGTTTACGTTTACACTCATTCTTTTCACCTAGATTTATATTTAACTGTTGTTTTCTTTTTTAAAAACATGATCTTTTTGTGAAAGTAGAAAGTTAAAAAAATGTTAAAAAAAATGTGAAAAATTATACCGACGTTCATGATCTTTTTGTGTCGTTTTCTTTTTTGAAAATTGATAATAATTAATATAAAAGTTAAAAAAATGTGAAAAATTATACCAACGTTTCTCATCGCACCCTCTAAGTTTTGATGACGGTTACGTTCTCGTTTGAATTTTTAAGATAGGGTATGTAGATACTAATTAACATGACAATTTTTATTTAATTATTATTGAAGTAAACAATTTTTTTTTTTAACTGGTAGCAGGTTAGGTACACATTAACTACACAATTTATTAAAATATCGAATATACCACAAATATGACACAATCGATAGGTCTAATGATGTAGACTGTACGATTAAGCGACAATATTTGTCTTAATTTATTCAGAACATAGACATAGGCGCCTGATAGACAAAAATGAAAAAAAACCGACTAAACAAGAAAAACGCACTTGGCTGTGTGTGGAGTGAGAGAGCACAGCCATAGGCCATCAGACCGATAGGACATAGGAGGGAACTGAATTATACTATGCATGTTTGGCGATGGAAGCAAAGCTGCTGCTATCGAATCCGCCATTGTTTTCCCCAACCCTTCTTCCCATTCCCATCCCATTTCCCCCTCGTACTCTCCAATCCCACAATCCCATTCCCACCGCACTCTGACTCTACCACCATCCACACCTTCCAAATCTGATTCCATTCCCGCGCCTAACCAAATGGACGACCCAAGTCCCGCCCTTTTCATTACCGGCGGCCTCTTCTTGGAACCCACGATTCCCAATTCCCTGCTCAATTCCGTTGTGTCGTTTAAGAAGAACTCTCCGTCTTCGGCTGTCGTTTCCGGGGCGGGTTCGTCGTACTGGTGTAGGCTGAGGGCGGTGGCCGGCGGTGGGTTCTTGGCCGTGAGCTTGAATAGCGATGGGGTTGTTCGGGAGTCTAAAGGGTGTTTGGTGCAGAACGGAGATGAAAGTTCGGAGGAGACAGCGCCGGCGGTGGTTACAGATAGGAAGAGAGAGAAAGTTGGGGTTAGGAGTCGTAGGGCCATGAATACCACCAACCATTTGTGGGCTGGTGCTATAGCGGCCATGGTTTCCAGGTCTGTGTTTTTTTGCCTTTTTTCATATTTTTCATTCCAATTTTTTTGGGTAATTTGTGTAAATTGCATTTGAGATGGGTATTCACACACCCTTTTATCTCTCAAACACCCTGTTAATTTTTGTTCGTTGATATTCTTGAATTTATTCGGTTCGACGGCTGAAAATTGATATTCTTACATTCATTCGATTCGACGGTTGAAAATTGAGAGCGTGAGAAGTAAAAATAGAGGTGTGAATAGCAGCACCCTTGATAATTTATGTTGTTTAGAAGAATTATGGAATTGATTTTCCCACTAATATTATTTTAGTTGATTGTGTAAATTTGGTGATTTAAGTAAGTTGATTTCCTATTACTTTATTTAGAATGGGAATTTTATGATTAGATGTATTGAACGAAACACGTAAATCGAAATTCAGAGAATTATGTTTCATTTACAATGTGGTTTTAGAGATTATCATATCGAACTCTAGAGTTTCTTTTTCTTTATATGTTGCTGACTGAAGGTTATTGTATCAGAACTTTTGTTGCACCTCTTGAGAGACTAAAGCTGGAGTATATAGTGCGCGGCGAACAGAGGCATCTATTTGAGCTCGTTAAGACAATTGCGGCTAATCAGGGGTTGAGGGGCTTTTGGAAGGGGAACCTAGTCAATATTCTTCGTACAGCTCCATTTAAAGCAATCAATTTCTATGCTTATGATACTTACAGAAAACAATTGCTCCGCTTCTCCAGAAATAAGGAGACCACAAATTTTGAGAGGTTCATTGCTGGCGCTGCAGCTGGAATTACTGCTGCCACACTCTGCTTACCTCTTGACACAGTAAGTGAGTTTAGAATTTGTCCATTTGATCAATCACTAGCTGAGATGGGGTCGTTCTTCCAGGTAGAAATGAATATTCAAGTATATGTTTAATTCCCTAATGTGGTGACACAGCTAAATGATATAATTTCTCCTTTTCCCTTCCATAACCTAGGCTAGTGTAAAGAGGGTATGCTGTTTAACTTGGAATACCTTTGGGCAGAGAGATAGATTATAAGATCTTCTGAAATAACATATGATTTACTAGGAAAATGTTGGTCTTTTCCTCTTTTTGAATGCACTTTCTTAAAGCAGATTAGGATATTACTTGGTGGTACATGAGATATCTTTAGTATATGTAAGCAATTGTCATGTCGGTTCTAGAAATTGTTGTAGTTCTGACTCCCTCTGGATATCTAGCAATAGACTAAAACTTAGTAAAATAGAGAAAACTAGAAACATAAGATTTATACTGGTCCGGCAGGACTTTTTCCTACGTCCAGTTGTGATTTCCCTGGGTAGAGAAATCACGGCTTCTTTGATTAATAATAGAGTTACAGTACTTTTGCAAAACCCTAGAACTAATCACCCATAAACTCTCTCGGCTTTCTGACCTATTCCAGTTATCTTCTAGGATTCCCAATCTAATTGTACAAGGAAACTTTGATTCTTTCCTAGTCCTTTTAGGAGAAGAATCGGTGCACCTATATTTTCCCTAATACAATCCTAAACAAAATAAGACACTAACTTTGATGAGCCAAAATCCTAACAGAAATTACCTGTAGCATTGTATTATAGCAATAATTTGAGTCTAAAATCACTTTTCTAAATTCTTCCGTATAGCCTTAATTCCGCTTGAATATAAAATTGGGCATTGTGGATCTTGGAAAAGTATTTGATATGTCAAATGCCCCGAAGAAAACTCATAAAAGTTCCGTAATTCAGATGCTGTGTTGAATCCCTTCCTTGCTGAATGTTGTATTGTATGCACACTCTACACAACTTGTGCCACTGATATCTCCTGTGGTCATGTATAAATTGTTTGATATTTTCGGGTATGATATTGCACAGATAAAGGATTTCTTTCACATGTTGAAAATGAGGTCTTCCTTTTGCAGCTTAGTCTTTTTTTAAGGAAAAAAATCATGGTTTGCCCTTCTAATTGAATGCAAAGATTTCCTACCTGTAAGCCAAGCACATTGCAGATCAAATTGGCATTGATTTTACCTTCTGAACTTCTGAGGCAGATCTAACTCCTAGGTTATGCCTGATGAAAATACGTAAAGTAAAAGAGAGTTTATGATGCTATTGATTGTACCCTACTATGTACTATCACACACAAATACTAACCCTAATCCCCTATATCTAACTTAATTGTTGTGTGTTTCAGATTCGGACTCAGTTGGTGGCTCCTGGTGGGGAAGCCTTGGGTGGTGTGATTGGTGCTTTTCGCCACATGATCCAAACTGAAGGGTTCTTTTCGCTTTATAAGGGCTTAGTACCCTCCATTGCAAGCATGGCGCCTGCAGGTGCGGTTTTCTATGGTGTCTATGATATATTAAAATCAACATACCTGCACTCCCATGATGGAAGGAAAAGAATTGACGAGATGAGCCAACAGGGGCGGGGTCGGAGTGCTTTGGACCAACTGGAGTTGGGACCGGTTCGGACTTTATTATATGGAGCTATTTCTGGTGCTTGTGCAGAAGCCGCCACATATCCATTTGAAGTGGTGAGGAGACAGCTACAACTACAAGTCCAGGCAACTAAAATGAATGCCTTGGCAACTGGTATTAAAATAGTTGAACACGGAGGTGTCCCAGCTCTCTATGCAGGACTTATCCCCAGCTTGTTGCAGGTATGTCATTCCAAGGATCACCATTTACTTAGCCATTTGTAGTGTTTTATGGAAGTTAATATGGTCAATTTGATGCTTCTGGAATCATAAACATGGTCATAGCTTCTGCATATAAATTCAATCAATTTAGCAAATTGGTTGTCATATTCTCATTTAAATGTCTTGGTTTCAACAGCTTTGAAATTTTGGTAAACAACATGGATTCATAATTTCTGCCATTTGATTTTATCCTTTTTGTTTTTATCATGTCTTTGCTCTTCCTACGTCATATGCTTTATAGGCTTTATGGGATGGTACGTGGCTCCCAAACTGAGTATTTCTTTCCAAAGTTCGCCTTTCTGTGTTAGCCCCCAAGAAAAACAACATTCTTTTGTTGGCCATACTAAGATTTGATGTGCTTGTTTGGACTCATTTATTCCATTTCCGTAATATTCTCCATTCATTTCCCGTGTAGCATTTCTCTCAAAATTCGAGCATTAAGGCTATGCATTTGTTCTCATCTTCGGTGTTTTGCATTCTCAGGTACTTCCTTCGGCCGCAATAAGTTACTTTGTCTATGAGTTTATGAAGATTGTTCTCAAGGTAGAATGAAGAGATAAAATGAGTACGTCCGAAGGTATACAATTGGAGGTTTCACGGGGAACTCAGTGAGGAGCAGCAGCTATATATTCAGAATCCCACAAGATTCTTGTATTGTGAAAGCAAGGAAAATACTCAAATCTGAATCTTCTCTCAATTCATGCTAACTCATTTGCAAATCTAATTCTTTGGTCACTGCTGAAATTTGAGTTTCATTCCCAAGAAACAAGTTCATACAGATCCCGTCCGATTTTCGCCCTTGCAGCGCGTGCCTACTAATGGGAGGTGATCTGCTGTTTGCTGCCCTCATTTACTTGCCTATAGATGGGATGGGATTTTAATTTTATGGTATATCCTTGTACACTGTAGTTGGTACTGAATAAAGAATTTGTGGCACACTGTACAAAATTTACTATTCCCAAATGCTCTGCAGGTGCGTTTTTATTCTAAGGAAGCAGATTGTCTGCTCTCTTGTTTGGATGCCCTTCTCATCTTCTTCTATTTATACGATTACGATTAAATCACGTTAATATTTTATATTTTTAATACTTTTTATCTTATTATCTTTATAGTTTTTTTGTTACACGGTGATGTATCATAATTCTAACTCATTCCCGTCGCCAGCCTTAATCACCTCGTCTTAGTTATACTGTCTCTGTCAGTGCGTAGGATAAGCATATAAATGCTGAAAATTCTAATAAAAGCAAAGAGTAGAAAAATGACGTCATTATTCCAAAGTTCAAACCACCTAAATTGTCAGACACGTGTGCGTCTCTGTGTCGCCCTGTCGATAATCGCAAAGCCCTCCTTTCGAGTAGCAGTCCCATCTGCTCCGAATCGTCTTCGCAACCCCATTCCTGCATTCAAAAGATGCCGCCGGACGGCGACTTCTGCACGTGCTTCGCCTGCGAAAATGGTGGCGCCAACGGTGACCACCACGTATCCCCTGACCCGAACTGTACGCATTGCAGGAAGTCCGATCCCTCACCCTCGTCGCTTTAATATTCTTCCTCGCTCGGATACGTTTCTGCGCCGCTGAGCGACTCGGAGAAGCTGCGGCGAGTCGTGACTGCTTCAATTAAGGGCTTCACCATCGGCGCCGGCCTCAAGGGCGGCCTCGCCATTTTCTCCATCCTAGCTCGGCTGAGACGACTGAAGCTCTTAGCATCTCTCAGGTGACAACCTCATCTAGCTTTGAATTTTCAGTAATAAAATTTAACAGTGTAATTTGTTTAATAATGGTAATTAAGTAAACTTATGATTAATTATTCAGGACGGAGGGTGTGATTCCAAATAATGAAGCAATTATGACTGCTCTGAAGGAGACGTTGAGATATGGGCTAGTTCTTTGAACTTTTTACTGGCACATTTATTTCCAGCGGCGGATCCAGGAAATAAATTCATTTCTCAGGTCTGCTTACATATTGAAGCAGGAAAGTTTACCTCCATCATACAAATCCTTTCTCAATAAACACGGAGGAAAGGTGATACAGTAATATTGCAAGGTGTCAAAGAGATTGCAAGTGGCATACCTTTTACTAATTGGGAGCAATAGAAAAACATTGCAAATCGATTGGAACAAATATTAAACTCGATCCAGGCATGGAAGTTCCCTGCTTGGTATGCATCCTTCAATTATCATATTACTTTCTTTTCCTAACATGTGAAAACAATTTGAGTCTTTTTGTCATTCTTATCAAACTAATTTAATTTAAACATTTTTACTTTGGTTGATGCATCAACAGCTTTTATGTCTCAAGCTTTCACAATTCACGCAGATTGTACACGGAGATCAGTCATGTAGTGGACATATTTTTTCTTTCCTTATTCAAGCCTACAAGAGAGCATTGCCAGTATATCTTCCAGTGTATCTGAATCCTGCCCTTATAGCTCGTCGGCAAGATCTCTTGAAAAGGTGATTCATCATTACTTTCTTGATTATCATATTTTCTATACTGGTGATGCTTTACGAAGATGTGATCAAGTGCTATCATCTTCTGGTTTGAATTTCCAAGAAAGCAGAATTGATTTGACTGGGAAGAAGTTTTGAGATTTAATTATGTGGCTTTCGGATTCACCACAAGTCATTTTGTTGGTAAGCTTAGATAGCAGCCTATGCATTACTAATTTAGGAACTGTCTTATTGTTAATCAATATACGACAGGTTTTGTGTAGCACGTATTTGACTGGAATAGGAATTTAAATCACTAGTAAATTTCTGGTGTGATTATGTATTACAAAGTGGAGCAACAGAAACATGTTGATCTATGATTGTTTATTCCCTTCTTATTTCTGTTGAAGAACTCCTAATTTTGTCTTGTTTTTTCTCTGCTGTCTTCTTAGCGGTTGGCTATGCTGAGTACTGAGACTCTATCACCATCACCATTCTTTCTTATGATACTAAATTTCGTGTGTACGTATATGCATGTTGGATTCCTCTAATGTTGTCATGATTAAGCTACTTACAAAATATACAAATTGGATATGTGCGTATAAGTTAGTGTAATCTTGGTTTTTGTTTCTGCTCCCTATGTGTTTATAAATGCAGGCATTACTCTGTACTACTAAAGGGCCTTCTCGGTACTGCAAGATCAAGCTTGTTTCTTTCCGTATATTGCTCATCTGCATGGTTAGCGGCTATTTTCTTCTATCTTACGTTCTGATGGTACCATTTACATGAATACTGCTATTGGGAAAGATGTAGACGAGAACCCGGGAAGTGTCTTGATTTGGTTATTAAAACTGCCCTTCCTTTTATAACCTTGTGATAAGTGTTCAATATTATTTCTCCTTTGAAAATTTATTTCCATGGGGCATGAAGACCAGACGTAGGGACTGATGGAACTGGAACTGAAACACGGTACAAATTCTTTTAGAGAACATAGGAAGCCAATGGACATAGGATATAAAATGGACCCAAGACCAGGCCACAGACTTACTTGAAACATAGTTGCCAAGGTGGCAATATCCCAAAACAATCGTGCAACGCCATGTGGGAAACTTAAAACATGTGGCGTCGTGTTAGAGATTGATTATAATTTATACCAGATGGGATGTAATGGATCCTCAAAAACTTGGAGACTAGATTAATAAGACCGGTTTGTTCATGTTTCGTTTTATCTTCTGTGGGATAATTGTCCCCTGAACCATCGGCTACAGGACAGATTAGAGAATCTGATATTTCAAGGCATAAATAGGTTGCCATAATCTAGTGATGTTGGACAATTTACTGAAATAGAATTCGCTAATAGTCTGGGTTCACTTCCTCAAGGTACCCTGGAGGAGGGCAGTTGGTTTTTTTTGTTATCTTTTAAGCTGTTTTTACCCTGAAATCCCTCAACCCGCTTCACGAACATGGATTCAGTTCTTGTTATCAATTCAAAATGTTGAATCAATGTAGTTTAACCGTATTATTACTTGTTATCCCTTCTAGTTTTGTTGAGAAAATTGATCTTTCATTATTCAGAAAGCGCTTCTCTTGTTGTTCTTCAGGGCATGGACATGCTTTCAGTTTTAGGATTTTCAGGAGGTGTAACATACCGATGGTTGCAATGGGGACGGTATGAACTTTCTTCAACTCTTTTAATTCGGTTCCAAGATAAATTTAATATCTTTGCTCATGGAGTCTCAATCGTATTGGGCAGTTCCCGACTGGTCTAGCCTTGGCCATTGAGAAGAAGAGCAGACGATTTGAGATTTCACTCTACTGTTTTATCCACAGCAATCATAATGCATTGTTATGCACAAGAGAGGGACGCGTTCAGTTCGAAATACTTGAAAAAGTAGTTAGGAAGTAGTGTCTACAGCGTTTTCGGTTTAGACTCATTTTGTTAGAGATTTCCTTTCGTGCCATAACAATCACATTTTGTTACTAAAGTTGAAGGGAATTAATATACCAGGCGAGTTTGACACACCGTTGCGTCTCCTTCCGCACAAATACAAGTGATATTTTTTTTAATCTGATCTAAATTGCTGGGAGGGAGATTTAAACTCGGGTGCATGTACTCTATTGTCAATGCTAGTTCTACGTGATTCTTCGACTACTATATTCAACGAATCTCAATGCTACGAATTAATGGTAAGACCAAAAGAAAACATAAAAACTAAACAAAACCAAAGCATTCCTATTCATAATGCCAAAATCTGCAGTACAAATACCCTAAGTACAAGATGAACAAGAGCAAGTCCGATCCACCATATGACCCGAATCACACTTCGTCTTCATGAAGCAGCATATTGGGTATTCCCTTGCTAACCGGAAATCGGCGACCAGTCTCGGGGCAAACAAGCGCACCCTCCTCGAGATGAAGCTCCAAAAGGGCATGGTGGAACTTGTGGAGAAAATCTTCAGAATAAAGCGTAGAAGGCTCAACCTCCTCAGGGAGCTCAACATAGCCCATACTACGAGCGGCATTTACAAGGGCCTTCCACTCGATCTTAGGGAACATGTTCCTGAGGAATTCAGGGTTGAAATCGACCGGCTTTTCAACCACCTTCTCTATTTCAATGCGCAGAGGGAAGCCGTTGGTCACGCCTTTGATGTTCGACGACAGCATGTTGTGGGTTAGCAGCCTCATCTTTCTTACTATCTAACCTAAAATGCAGAGTCAGTTCGCCTCGAGGACCTCAAGTCATAGATTAACACCAATAAGACACAGCAATGTTTCCTGTTTTCGCAATTAGATTCGGCATGTGTTTTTGCTTGTTCTTGGTGTGGAAAAATGTACTAACTCAAACATTGGCTAAAAATATCTAAAGAGGAGGCTAAGGAGACAAATGAACATCAAATTCACCAAAATTTACAAGGTTTATCAATACAATACAATACTACAAATTAATTAAACAATCCCAAAGCTAATTAAACAATGCAGATTTAATCCAAACACAGAGCTACAGACAGAGTGCATAAACAGGGCAGAATCGATTCTCCTAAAAGCACCTAACTTTGGCAATTCATAAACCTAAATTATGTGCTTCTGATTCTCCGAGAAGTAGAAAGGGGAAAATGGGGAAGTTGGGTAAGCAAAATACCTGTGATTCTCCGAAGTGGGGTCCGCAATTTCTGGACGCCGGGAACTGAGAGAGAGAAGGGCAGAGACTGCAGAGAATCGGAGAGGGAGGTGAGCGCTTACGACTGTGGAAGGAGAAAAGAATTAGGGTTTATTTCATGGTAGAGTTACCTAAATAACCTTACCTTAATTTTTCCAGGAGTTTCTTTTTCTTTTCTTTTGGCTTCTAGGAATTTAATTTTTATTGGCTTGCATTGACTGTTGCACCAGACGCGTCTAGTTCGATTCTTCACTCATACGCTATATCTTGTACACAGAAACATGTATTTTGAGGTTGAATTCATTTTAGGCAAAATTGTTTATGCGGCTTTTAGCTTAGTTAGTTAAAAATATTTTTTTTTTGCATTTGAGTTCCTAAGTTTGATTATTTCTCTTCTAATATCGCTTCTCAAAATTTGAAATAATATTAGAATTTATTTAAACTTTCACTTTTTGTCTGTAGAGCTTTTTACTTGCACGTTGAAATAAAGGTTGAAAGTTTATGTTAGTTCGTGGTTATTCTTGTTGGAAAGCTGGAATACTCTATATATTTTTGTAATTTCTCCTGAATTCCGTTGTACATCGCACATTTCAAGTCAACCTGCAACTGAAATACTCTTGATTCCATCTATGTGAATCTTCTCGAATTCGGGAGGATGAACTGTCGTGGCGAAGCCACCAGCTGATCCATTTAAAAAAAAAAAACCTATACTGCATTAGGAGATAAAGAATTAAAAAGTTTAAGTGCTTTTGTCAAATTTATAAGCTATTTGATATAGAACTAGCAGCTGGGTCTTCTGGTGTGGTTGCTGTTGTCGAACCTTACACTTGAAAATTGATATCAAACTTTGACAAATCGTTGATTATTAGTCTTTGATACCAACTTTATGAGACTTTCCATCAAAACTAACCACGTGACATAAACATAATTAAAATGGGTTTGTAAGATGTGGCCCATTGGTTACAATTTAGTCCTAGAACCAATATGTGGCCCATTGGTATAATACCACATTTTGTGGGTCTGTAAGATGAAATTTAGTTTTGTAAACAACAAAATTAATTGATTTCTACTCACAACAAATTACAATTGTGCTTATAGTCACTTAAATACAATTAAATAAAATACAAGCAGACCATCAATCTTGATTGGGTTGATATTAGCTTGATATGAACACCCACCACTTGTACAGAGCAAACCCATAAACTGTGGCATAAGCAACCAATCTCAGAGGATACTTTTTAAATCTGCAATAGGATATAATGCTCTTACAAGTCAGAACTCAGGGACTGCCTTATAAACCACTAATCTTTCTCCGCAATCCGATAATTGTTATTTGCACTCTAAAAATTTAATTGTGCGCCCCAAACTTTCAATATTTAAAAAAAAATACTCTTACAAAAAGTGCACATTTAAATTTTTAGAGTACCAATGATAATTACTTTAGTTAATTTACATTATGATTTTCTTGAAGGTCTATGAATTGAGAACATATGAACCCATGAACACGAAATCTAGTTTGATATATCCGGGTCATGCAAAAATTATGTATAAAGAGTCACTTAGTACGGTATAGTGATGTTTCTCTTTATTTGTAAGTGAGAAATTTTAGGTTCGATTCTCGCCAAAGGTGAATTTGAACCACATTATTGCTAGCCCATTATGAGGCTTAGCCCACTCCTTCACTCCCTTAATGTAGATAATATCATTTGTTAAAAAAAAAAACTATGATAGATACCATATTAATCAACCACGAGTTCAAAATGTCAAGAAATGAACTGAGAGTATAGCAACCATAGGGAAGCAATCCTAAAAAGCCAAATATACAAAACAACATGCTCATGAACCAAAAGAGTGAGTCTTATTTATTTATTTACTTTTTAATACAATGATATATTTAGACTAAAGAGTAGGGTAATACATTGTTTTCAAACTCGTTATTCACGAGATTCAAACATAAGACATCTCTTGTAAAAGTGAAAAGAATATAACTAGACCATAGTATTAAGTGATACAACAACCAGTCTTATTAAATACATACAACTCTAGTTTATATAATGTTTGATGAGGTTTTTGTTTTGCAAATTAACATTTAAAAGGTTAGATACTAAAAGTTGTTTGTATTATAATTAAAAGATTTTCGACGTGAAAGTATACAATTCACTTTGGAGTGGGTCAAAACGATCGGTTAAATAAGTACAACATAATACAATAAAAGAGAAAATTGGTTGAATTTATGGTTGTAAACAAGCCGAGTCAAATTGAATATCACTCTACTTAATCCTTGTTTTTTTAATTTTTTTGAGCTCAAGCAAGGTTTGGCTTAGTTCTTAGACAAGTCAAGCTCAAGCGAGCTTAAAATTTTCAAGCTTGATACCAATTTTGAGCTATTTCCTATAATATGTTACTCCCATCTTGTAACAAAAAAAATTCAACTTGATAGCACGTTTTCATACTAGAATTCATATTAAACATAAACAAGTTAACACAAAATCTTCAAACATAATATAGGGCATAACGCATGAAGTTTATTTAAAAACAAAAGAAAACGGCGGGACTTAATGTCAATCTCCATCTTTAAAAAAGTCAAATTGAAGATATACTTAGAAAGACATAAACATTAATATTGAAAAACAAAATCTCAATCATGGTCTTTCATTTCAAGTGAACTTCTTGTATAGAGGCCACTTAGTACTACGGTCTAGTGATATTTTTCTTCACTTATAAGTGAGAGATCTTAAGTTCGATTCTTGCCAAAAACGAATTTGAAACACATTATTGCTAGCCCATTGTGAGGTTTATCTCAAACCTCACCCCGGCCTTTAGTGTAGATAATATCGTTTGTTAAAAAAAAAAAAAAAAAACTTCTTGTATAGAGAATCTAGTTCGATCTGTCTTATGAAAACATACTAGCTACATACGAGCTTTATGAGCGAACATATCAATGTTTAAGCTTGATGTGTTCCTATCAAGCTGAACATAGGCTTGATTTGCTTCCTTCACGAGCTGAGCTTCAATAAGCCAACACAAGCCAAACCTAATGCAAGCTTGATTTGCTTTACAACTCTAGCCAGGCGATTTCCCGTTCAGCATGGAGATTAACTCTAGCCTTGATTTTCCTTAACCAACTAGTTCTTAATTTAATAATACCTTAATACAATTCGCTCACGGCCCCAATTCAGCCTAATGGACTGAATAGTTCGGGTCAAATAATTTTTCTTTTTATAGAAGCAATATTTTTACGAACTTCAAATACAAGGCCTTGCATCAATCAATCAATCAATCAATCAATCAATCAATCAAATCATATAACACAATATAGACATAGAATACAAATACGTATGCATTAGCGAAATCGAGGAAATCCAAACATTATTAATTGGAAAACACCACCCCACAAAAATCCCATAATTCTAAACAACTAACCTTGTTATTAGTCCAGATCTTTGAGCAATTTCAGAGGCTCTTTCCTCGAATGAAACCGGAGAGGTCCACCGGGAGAAGTCGCGGTCAAAGTAAGCCAAATCAGGCAAAAGCAGCCCAGCAATTCCCAGCACACCAACCACGTACGTTAACGTCATCTTCTTCAAGGACTGAGTACATAGTCCAACTACCACTATTACCACTGCTAACCAAACAAGTGAAGACCTGAAAACGGCATCGTTTGCCATGGAAGTACTTCAGAGACAGAGACCAGAGGAAAGCTTAGTGAAGGCGATAGAGACGAAGGTGGAGAAGATGGATGGGAATATAATAGGAAGGACTAGTGTGCGGGTGGGGATGGAGGAAATGGGCATGGTTGGGTGGTGGTAGCGGCCATGCCACAGCAAAGTTCTGAGGATTTGCTTCACAAAATTAAGGGTAGAGAAGTGGTTAGAAAATGCTTTCAATGCAAACCCAACTGTTGTTATAAATGCATTTTATATTGTCACCACTCTTTCTGGGCATGTATGCTTTTGCTTAGCTGTGAAATGCATGGGGAACGCCACGTAATCCCCAAGTTTTACACCTTTTTTGGGTGCAATTTGATCTCTTCTTTCTTTTTCCTTTTTTTTTTTTTTTTTTTTAATGTGGGCATGGTTGTCACTTAATACAATAGTTAAATAGTTAAGTGATGTTTCTCCTTATCCGTAAGAATTCGATATTAATTTATTTCCCTGCTTATTGGTTTATGTCAAAGTGGGCAGGGTTTTTGATTTTGGCCTAGACAAGTTTGGGTTGTCGGTTTTGTAATTTAAACTTTAAATCAGACAAGTATGTGCTACTTATTATTATAGTCTAGCGGTATTTATCTTCACATTAAGTAGAAGATCTTGGTTCAAATTCCGTGAATGACGAGTTCAAAACTAATTTATTATAACTGATCCATCATGTGGTTTAGCCCAAATTTCCTACCTCTTGGTGTAAATACATCATTATGTAAATCAAATAAACCATTTTGTTTTTAATTTTCAATTTAAAAAAAAACTAAAAACTTGTTTGTAATGGTTTTCTATTTCAAAAAAAATAAAAACCAAAAAAAATTTTTCTTTTTAAAAATTGATTGATTTTGATTAAAATATAAAATATAAAATAAGAGGTTATTTGATAACCATTTTGTTTTCCGTCCACTTTTATGAAAACTGAAATCTTGTGTGGTAACTATTTTTAGTTTTCAGTCTAAAAAGTGAAAACTCATGGCCAAATTTTAAAAACTCAAAAAAGTAGTGTTTGTTGCAGTCCTATTAAATTAGGAATGTGATTGTGTAAATCCTAACATATCTAGGATATCCTTATGGGATTCTACCTTAGAGTTGTAATCCTATTAAGGTAAGGAATTAACCTTCCCTACTACTATAAATAAAGGCACAATGGGGTGGAATGGAATACACCTCACAATTACACATCTCTCTTCTCTCTCTATGCGATGCACCCCCTCTCTCTATGGCCTCCATAATTGTTTAGTAAATTATGCCTACAACACATTATCAACACGCTCTTGATGCTGTACTAAAGAGAGTTTGATCTTTAATCAGGGAAGTATTACGTTTTAATCATTTTGATCTTTAATTAGGGAAGTATTACGTTTTAATCATTCTTTTTATAATTAATTTATTATTTTATTGAATTGATTTACATGTTATTGATTCAATTTAATTTTTCTTTGTTAAACATGATACAACTCATTGGAGATGTAATTTTGGCTTTTCGAGAAGGATCTTCTACAAATTCAAGGGCTTTTATCGTTTTCTGCCAATTAGGTACGCTTAAAATAAAGGGAGATATTTGAAACGACCATGAAGCATGAAAACATTTTTCATGATGCATGAACCCCCTACATTTATATTTACCTTCCTATATATATATAGAGTCTATGTTTCATATATTTGTTAATACACACACACATACACGTTTCATGCATTATGCAATTTTTGCTATGTGGAATTTGTGAGTCAAAGAATTTAAAGAAGTTAGAAGCAATTACGGTTTTTCAAATCCTAGGAATTTTGAAAAAAAAAAAAAAAAAATTTAAATTTGGGAAATCTTCGGCTGAGTCACGGCCTGGAGCCATGCCGCCACCTACCGCCAAGCCGAGCCTGTATTACTTCTATGCATTCTCACTTATTGCCTTTTCCTGCTGTACTTCCATCTGCTTTCATCGCCGAACTACATTGCTTTTGCTTCTACTAGTTCTATTACTGAAGCTGACACACTTCTCAAATGGAAAGCCATCATTCAAAACCAAACCCATCTCCAAATTCTCCCCTCTTGGACTTACTTTCCCAGTAATAATGGTGCCATTAATTCTTCAAGCAATTCTAAAACGCAAGTACCCCCATGCTTCTGAACGGGTATTTCATGCAATGATGTGGGAAGTGTCACTATAATAAACCTTACCAATTCAAGTATACAAGGTACACTACATGAATTTTCATTCTTGTCCTTCCCCAATCTTGAGTACCTCAACCTCAGCTACAATAATCTCTTTGGTGACATTCCATCTCAGATCAGTTCCCTTTCCAAACTCAACAATCTCAGTCTCTCTAACAATCAGGTTTTTGGGAGTATTCCACAAGAGATATAGAACTTGAAATCTCTTGTGCACATAGATTTGTCTAAGAATCAACTTAATAGTTCAATCCCAACATCCCTAGGTGATCTCACAAACCTTAACAATCTTGATCTCTACAAAAATAATCTTTCTGGTTCTATTCCTAAAGAGATTGGTAACTTGAAATCTCTTGTATGGCTTTACTTGATTGAGAATCAGCTCATTGGTACAATCCCAACTTCCATAGGTGATCTCACAAACCTTACCATTCTCGATCTCTACAAAAATAATCTTTCTAGTTCTATTTCTAAAGAGATAGGTAACTTGAAATCTCTTACGGTGCTCTACTTGAGTGAGAATCAGCTCAGTGGTTCAATCCTAACATCCATAGGTGATCTCACAAATCTTTCTATTCTCTATCTATCGTATAATAATTTTTCTGGTTCTATTCCTAAAGAGATAGGTAACTTGAAATCTCTTGTTGAGCTTAGTCTATGTGTAAATCAGCTCAATGGTTCAATTTTCGCTTCAATTGGTAACTTGAGTAACTTGGAACATTTATCATTGTTTAATAACCATTTTACTGGTTATTTACCCCAAAATATTTGCCACAGCAGGCAACTCAGAAATTTTTCAGTAAGCAACAACCATTTGACTGGTCCTATCCCCAAAAGTTTGAAAACATACATGAGCTTATTTAGAGTTCGTCTTGATGGGAACAAATTGACAGGAAATATATTTGAAGACTTTGGTGTTTATCCAAATCTTTATTTTCTAGATCTGAGCCACAATAATTTTTATAGGGAAATCTCACAAAACTGGGGACAATGCCCACAATTAGAAACCCTACTGATTGCTGGAAATAACCTTACTGGTAGCATAGCTCCTGATATTGTCAATGCACAAAAATTCATCAACTCGATCTTTCTTCAAATCGCTTAGTTGGGGCTATTCCAAAGGGATTTGGGAGAATGACTTCTTTACAGAAGTTGATGTTGAATGGAAATCAACTTTCGGGTTATATACCCTTAGAATTTGGATCACTAATTGATCTTGAATATCTCGACTTGTCATCAAACAAATTCAATGGGTTTGTTCCGAGCAATTTAGGTGTCTTTCTCAGATTGTACCATCTAAATTTGAGCAACAACAAATTTTTCTCACAAACTTCCACTTGAATTGGGGAAGTTAGTTCAATTGACCGAACTTGATTTAAGTTACAACTCACTTGAAGGAAGTATACCACCAGAAATCACCAATATGGAGAGTTTGGTGACGCTCAATAATTCCCACAACAATCTCTCGAGTTTCATACCATCAACTTTTGAAGGCATGCACGGCTTGTCATATGTTGATATATCTTACAATGAATTGGAAGGTCATCTTCCCAACAACAGTGCATTTCAAGAAGCTCTACCAGAAGCTTTACAAGGGAACAAAGGATTGTGGCAACGTTAGATCTTTGCAACCCTGTAAGCATGGCTCAAGAACGGACCACAAATGGGTATTTGTAATCACTTTCACCCTTCTAGCAGCAATTTTCCTTCTTTGTGCTTTCTTTACAATTGTCTTCATGGAAAGAAAGAAGAAGCATCGGGATAAAGGAGAAAAAAACATGCATGAAGAAGTATGGTTCTCAGTCTTGAATTTTGATGGAAAGTCAATGTATGAGGAAATCTTAAGGGTGACAAAAAACTTTGATTTCATATATTGCATTGGGAGCGAAGGACAAGGAAGCGTCTACAAAGCCAATTTGTCATGTGGCAACATAGTGGCTGTGAAGAAACTCCATCACTTGTGGGATCACGAGAAGAATTTGGAGAATGGATTCTTGAATGAAATGAGAGCATTAACAGAGATAAGACACCGGAACATTGTGAAGCTTTATGGTTTCTGTTTGCACCACCGACACTCGTTCTTGGTGTATGAGTTTTTTGAAAGGGGTAGCTTGGCTAAAATTTTGAGTAAAGATGAAGCTACAGAAGTGGGGTGGAGAAAAAGGGTGAATATTGTTAATAGTGTAGCTCATGCCTTGGCATACATGCACCACGATGTCATGTCACCAATTGTGCACCGGACATATCAAGTAAGGACATTTTGTTGGATTATGAATATAAGACCTCTATTTCAGACTTTGGCATTGCTAAGTTTTTGAATCGAGACTCAACGAATTAGAATGCCGTTGCAGGCGCATATGGATATGTTGCACCAGGTAATGTGGTTCTATGTTCTATATATTCTTTTGTTTTTTCTTTGAGACAATGATTCTGACATCTTGCATAAATTTCTTAATTTATTCTTGGATATTTTTGTTCAGAATATTATTCCTTTTAGTCGTTAGGCAGGAGTTACATTTTTATTTGGAATAGAACTTTGAGATTATGTACAAGATAATTTGGTTGTTATTGGTGATCCAGAATCTATTTCTTTTATGTTAAGAATAATTGGTGATCCAAAAAACATTTCTCTTCCATTTTTCTTCATGATGACAAAATGTTCTAACCATTGAAGTCTCTGATATAGTGTATTACATGCCTATACTAATAATCCCACTACTATGAGCTTATTCCGAGCAGAGCTTGCATATACAATGGAAGTGAATGAAAAATGTGATGTTTATAGCTTTGGAGTAGTCGTATTGGAAATAATTATAGGGAGGCATCCTGGAGATTTTTTCTCAACATTCTCATCAATGCCTTCTTCATCCTTGTTGTCATCATCATCTACATTACCAACCCATCAAATGCCAATTATGAATGTTCTGGACCAACGCATTTCGCTTCCAACGCATTTCGCTTCCAACGCATCAAGAAGCAGGGGAAGTTCTATCTCTTGTGAAGGTCGCATTTTCATGCTTGAATCCTAGCCCGCAATCTCGTCCAGCAATGAAACAAGTTTCTCAAATCCTCTCAACTCAGAAGCTGCATTTGTCGAAGCCATGACATATGATAACCTGTGGTGAATTGTATGCTCTTGATCCTTTGACTGTCTAAGAATCAGAGAAAGTGGGAATTTCCTATAAATAAGTTTCCCACTATCGAGTCTTCTTTTTAGAAGAAAATTAGCAAGCGTACCTGCGCGTTGCTGCGGTGTTTGAAAACATAATTGAATATGCAGAAGTCTCAAAAAATATATGCGCCAAAGAATGGTGTTTATATACATATATTACATCCATGTCCATGTGTTAAGGAAGTGCTATTTACATTCATATATTACATGACAAAAATTGGAAATATGGGTGTGCCATTCTTAAGGATTGCTTTTCAAAAGCTATGGCTCTACCCCAGAGATTGTTTTATGTGTACAATTTTACCAAGTTAAAACAATCCAGTTTTGTTTCACTAAAGACACCCAAATTCGTAACTTCGTTAATGATGTCTCCTTCGTTTTCTATGACAACGTAGAAGTAAAAATTAAGAGAAGGAAATTAAAAACAGAATTGGATCACTTATGAATTGAATCACACTAAGTTGCATATGAATTGAATTGAATGAAAATCTAAAGATGAATGAGAATTTTTCATAATCTAACTCTACAAAATTTCAATATGCCAAATTTCATTTGTAGGCACCAAATTAAATTGACAAAATTAAGTTGGGTCTTTCATATTCTCTATTGGTCTTCAGTATGCCAGATTTCTAAATTTTACTTCAGGCAGGATCAATGTTTTAAAGAACTCGCCTCGGGGCGTGCCTAAGGCGCCCTTGAGGCTGGGCGGAGAGGCAAACGCCTCAGTTTTGCTGGAGTAGGCGAAATGCTTCGCCGGAGACGCCGAGGCGCGCCTCAAGGCGTCTGGACGTTTTTTTTTTTTTTTTTTTTTTTTTTTTTTTTTTAAAACATCCAAACCCAAAACGACGTCGTTTGGGTAAGGATTTTCAGTCTTCACCCACCATACCTTCGAATTCGATCCATTTTCCTGCCTCTACCTTTTGCCTTCTGCCTTGTTGCTTCTTTTTCTCCTGCGCGCCAGAAGCCCAGAGGCTCAGAACACTAGTCCAGTCGCCACGCCACCATCACCCCGTCGCCGTCACCTCAGCACCATCAGCCCAGCCCCAGCGCCGTCAGCAAGATCCCAAAGGTTAGGGTTTTTGAAATTAGGGATTTATTTTCTGGGGAAGGTTTTGCAACTTTTGCTATAGAGGGGTTAATAGTTTTCTGGGGATTTAGTTTTCTGGTTTTGCATTTTCTGGGGAAGGTGCTCTGCGAGAGAGAGAGAGAGAGAGGAAGAAGCAGAGTAGAAAACAGGGGACAGACAGCCCACAGTTTTATTTGTCTGTGTGGCTGCCAAACTGTTTTGCACTTATAGTCTTATACCATAAACTTAATGCTTCTGTCGGCTGCCATAAATTGTGTTCGTGTGCCATAAATTGGCACTTAGATAAATTGTTAGAAATTGTTAGAAATTGGCACTAAAGGGTTAATTGTTAATAAATTAATTAAAGGATTAATTTATAAATTAATTAATAAATTGTTAGAAATTTATAAATGAATTAATAAATTGTTAGAAATTTATTAATTGTTAGAAATTGCTAGAAATTAATTAAGGGTTAATTGTTAGAAATTGTTAGAAATTGGCACTAAAGGATTAATTTATAAATTAATTAATAAATTGTTAGAAATTGTTGGAAATTGTTGGAAATTTGATGCGAGAACTATACGCGCACAAATTAAACCCTCTTTTTGACAATTGTAGTATGGATGTAAGTAGGGATCGTTCTGGACCGGGGATTAGGAGGGCTTGCTAAAACCTTCTAAATTGACTTAAGAACGTAAAAACAAAATAAAACACTAAACCAGACTCAAAGAATGCAAAACTAAAATTTAAAACATTAAGACAAACCAAAAGACTCAAAACTAATTTTGGACGAATTTAAGATTATGGCTTGATTCAAAATACTTTAAAACACAAACTAAACAGATTCTAAGCACTAAAGAACAAGAAAGTAAAAGGGGGGGAAAAGTTTTGATTTGACGAAATTTGAAATAACAAAACAAGTTAATAAACTGAGCGGAATGTAAATATGAAATTGTGATGGAATGAATGGAATGAAGGCTAGCTAAGGGGTTCTTCTCCACACATGTTATACTTGCATACAAGATTGATTCTCAGTTGGTCTTTCGATAAATTATGATACTCAACACTCCGGATTAATTAGGTCCGCTTAAATTAACCGTCAAGTTTTCCTTAAGTTAATGAATTGGATGGGTTTGCGCAACGCAATTCACAACATTCTCCAAAAGTCCTTTACGTGAACAGCACAATAAAGATACAATCAAAGATCATTAAGCATTATGAAAACTATAAGTGTTGACGAGGCATTCGTTACTATGATGAGCATGAAACTCGTGCCAAGAATATGTTTAACACGATTGTTTATAAGCAACCTCCACTACTTGTGAATATAAGTTCATAACGATTAGGTGAAATTCACTTATATTCTAGCGTCATATTTATGCATGAAAATTAAGCGCGCATTCTTAATAAACATTCATAAATAAGCTATCAATCAAACGGTTAAACAAATTGAATCCACAACTTATGAAATTCCAACGAAAGTTAATCAATTCATATTGCAAATATAAACATAGTTTCGAATCACCCCCTACCTAAAGGGGGTTTAGTTCCTCATAACCTTGAAATCAAAGAAACACCTAAACATTCCAACAACTCAAAGCTTGAATTGTATGAACGTTTAAGCACTCTTCTCTTCCATACATACAAAACAAAGAGAATTAAAATGAAACTTTGAAATCAAAGAAACACCTAAACATTCCAACAACTCAAAACTTGAATTGTATGAACGTTTAGGCATTCTTCTCTTCCTCGTTGTTGTAGCACAAGGTTTAAGGGATGTTGTTGGTGTGTTGAATGGATTGGGGAATTTATGGAAATGGAAGAAATGGAGGAGAAATGGAAGGGAAACTCACGGCCAAAGGGGGAAGAATGGATGATTTTGAAGAGTGTTGTGTTGTGAATGAGATGAAGAATTGCATGTGGAAATAAAAGGGAAAATGTGGTGAAATGATGAAGTAGGAAGGTGGAAATGCATGTGAGATGTTGGAAAGGAAATGGGAATATGAGTAGGCCATGGCATGGGAGTTGTTTTGTTGGTGTAAATGTGCCATGGTTGCAATGATGAAGAATAAAGGGTGCATGTGGGGTGGAAGTGATGAATGCAAAGTGAATGAATAATGAAATGAGTTAAAGAGGGAGAATGTGGTGAAATGATGAAGTAGGAAGGTGGAAATGCATGTGACTTGTTTGTGGAATAAAGAATGAATGGTGGAATGATGAAGTGAATGCATGTGGAATTAAAGAGGGAGAATGTGGTGAAATGATGAAGTAGGAAGGTGGAAATGCATGTGAGATGTTGGAAAGAGGTGGGTGTGCATGTGAGTTGAAATGCATATGTTTAAATGGTTGAAATGTGTAGATAATTATGAGTATGATAAGTGAACTTTGTATGGTTATGATAAGTGAATGGTGAATGATATGTTAAGTGATAAATGAATGATATGTGGTGAGTGATAAGTGAATGGTTTGATAAGTGATAAATGAATGATATGTGGTGAGTGATAAGTGAATGGAAGTGATAAGTGATAAATGTATGATATGATAATTGAATGATATGTTAAGTGAATGATATGATAAGTGAATGCTTTAAGTGTTTAAAAATAGGGAACAAAACCCTTCCTTGCATGGCAAGGAACGGAGACACAAGGAAACACACGACAATGTCCTAAGGTTGCAAGGAATGTTGTTTTTGTGTTCTAAAATGCGTAGGAGTTTTCAATGATGCTTAAACATGAGGTCTTTTAGGATTTAACTTTCCTACTTCAAGTCTTTAATTTCGTCCATCCTCTTGGCTCCAAGCATATGATATCCATTCCAATCTCTAATTTGCTCCAAAAGGCTCCAAAAGGCATCCTTTTGCATACCTTGCCCTTAGAACCTGAAAACACACAAAAGAAGCATAAATGACTAAAATAACTAGAGAAACATAACGTAAATGCACGAGAACAAGCCATTTAAGTCGCATGAATATGCTCCTATCAAAATTGTTGGTATATAAATTAATTAATAAATTGTTGGTTCATTAATTTTATGCATGCATCTATTGTTTATTGTTTAGGGTATTGAAGAATATGGCTTCTTCTTCTAAGAAAGATTTTGCTTGGCAATGGACAAAAGATTTGGATCCTGTCACTAAGCACTTCTATTGTGTTTTTTGTAACCACAAATGCACGGGTTCAATTTCTAGATTCAAACATCACTTGGGTGGTGTAAGTTCGGAAGGAATGATAAGTTGTAAAAAAGTCCCACCCAATGTGAAGGAAGAATGTTTTGCTAATGTTATGGGAACTAAAGAAAAGAGGAAAGCTAGTCATGAGTTGTGTCGTGGTGGTGGAGAAGAAAGTGAAAGTGTCGATATGGGCACAACAAGGACAACATATGTAAGTAGTGGGAGTGGGAGTGCGAGTGCCACACGTTCACAACAAACCGGTTCTTTTCTACCACCTAGGTCAAGGGGACCACTTGACAGGTATGTTACATCGGAAGCTCGTCAAACCACGTTGAATACACCTTTCAAAAAAGAGGAAAGAAGACAAGCATCCCGAGCACTTGCCCGATGGTTTTACACTAGAACCATTCCATTCAATGCGGCAAACAATAAATATTATGTTAATGCAATGAAATTGGTGTCCAATTTTGGTCCCGGCTTTGATGCTCCTACAAGTCATGAATATAGAACTTGGATGCTTAAAGAACAAGTTGATGATGTACAAAGTATGATGAAAGAACATCAAAAGGCTTGGAAGAGATATGGATGCACTATTATGTCGGATGGATGGTCGAATGGCAAAAGTAGATGTTTAATCAACTTTCTTGTCAATAGCCCTCAAGGTACTTGGTTCTTGAAATCGGTTGATGCATCGGCCTCTATTAAGATTGGAGATTTGTTGTATAGCTATTTGGATGACGTTATTCAAGAAATTGGGGAGGAGAATGTGGTTCAAGTTATATCTGACAATGCTTCGAACTACAAGAATGCCGGGGAAAAACTTATGGAGAGGAAAGAGAAGGTGTGGTGGACTCCATGTGCGGCTCATTGCATTGATTTGAGGCTAGAAGATATTTCTAAGATGGCATGGTTTGATGACACACTCAAACGTGCTAGGTGTATTTCAAAGTATCTATATGGGCATCAATGGGTACTAGCTTTGATGAGAAAGTACACTAACAATTCGAAAATTCTTCGTCCGGCGGTCACTAGGTTTGCCACTTCTTTCCTTACACTACAAAGCTTACAAAAGCAAAAGGAAAATCTTGTTGCTTTGTTTACCTCTCAAGAATGGTCGGAAAGTACCTATGCAAAATCCCGTGAAGCAAAGTTGGCTAAGCATCATGTGTTATATGATCGTGAGTTTTGGGGTCGAGATTCCTTTTGCATTGAGGGCGTTCTTCCTCTTGTTTGTGTTTTGAGAGAGGTTGATTCGGAGGAGAGACCCCCATGTGTTTTATATATGAGTTGATGGATGCCGCAAAAGAGAAAATTGCAAGCAATCTTAACAAAATGGAGAAAAAATATATGCCTATTTGGAGAAAGATAGATCGTAGATGGGACGATCAACTTCATCAACCACTACATGCGGCGGGCTATTACTTAAACCCACAATTTCGATATGAGGATATTTTCTCAGATACTGATGAAGTGCAAAATGGGTTGTTTGCTTGCATGGATAGGATGCTTGGGAAAGGGAAAGAACGTGAAGAGGCCGATGTTCAATTGGATTTATTTACTAATAAGCGTGATCCATTTGCGGATTCTATGGCTATGCAAACTAGGAAAAAGCGAACACCAAGTAAGATTTAATTAGTTAATTGTTAATATCTTTTTATCATTAACCTTTAAATTACTTACCTTATTAATATTGTTTTTTTAGCGGCTTGGTGGGAGCGCTTTGGGCATAAAACACCCGAGTTAAAGAAATTTGCTATCCGAGTTCTAAGCCTTACTTGTAGTGCATTGGGATGTGAGAGGAATTGGGGCACATTTTCAATGGTAAGTAAATATATTATTAGTATCTTAAGTGTCATTTTTGCTTAAAATGTTTAGACTTGAATAATAGAATTGATTTATTTGTAGATTCATACAAAAAGAAGGAATAGGCTTGAACACAAAAGGCTTAATGCTTTAGCCTATGTCAAGTACAATTTGGCTTTACAACAAAGAAGTAAGAAAAGGATGGAGAAGTATGATCCTATTGTTGTAGAAGAAATTGCCTTCGATGATGAATGGATAACAGAGATAGAAGATCCCGTTCTTCCGGAAGATCCTACATGGCTTGAGACTGAGTTATTGTATAATGTTGAGGCCGTAAGGAATGTGCCAACCCCGGTTTATGAAGGTGGCTCATACATTCGAGAGCCTAGAGAGTCTTCTCCTCCTCCTCCTCCTCCTGAGCCTACTCAACCTCAGGGTCCTATTACATACAAAAGAAAACGGGGTAAAGAAGAATCCTCAAGTAGAACTAGAAGAAATGTGGAATATGATTTGGAAGATTCTTTTGATGAAATGATGAGATACCCAACAAGTTCATCTAGAGTTGGCAATGAAGAGGATGATGTTGCCTTTTATTTGGATGAAGAGGATTTAGATGAATGATTTATATCTTTGTTTGTATTTTGATTTATATGAAGATGATTTGGATGAATGATTGTTTTCTTTGTTTGTATTACCTTTTGAATGATGAATTTGGGTGATATTACCTTTGAATGATGAATTTAAATGATATTATCTTTTGAATGACTATGGATTTGAATGAAAAATTGAGAATGGATGTTTATTTTACATAGTATTATTTTTTATACAATTATATGTATAATATATAAAACATATATATAAAAAAAATTAAATCCTGTAAGGCTTCGCCTCACGCCTCACGCCTAGGCCGAGCTTCGCCTCGGACACCTCGCCCACGCCTCACGCTTTTAATACATTGGGCAGGATTAATATGCACATCTCTACCAGTATATAGTTCCGCTAAATTGATTTTTACTCAAATGTTTCACAGTATTAATGTAAATAGGGGAAAACATAACAAACATCCTTAATCACAAACAGAGCATAACTGAATGTCATGTATGTCACAACGCAGAATTCATCCAACTGAATTGTGTTTCTAGTTGATTATATATCAAAACTAAATAAAACTATCAAGCATATGAAGATAAAATGCACACCTGGGATATCAGTCTCACAAAATCGCAGCATAAGGAAGCAGATGGAAGTACTCAACGACTGTTGTAACTGCCCAGCTGTTGAAACTCTTTTGTACCAAAGGACCCTGCACAAAGTCCAATTGTTAAACAGGCAGGAGAACTTAGAAAAAAGTATAATAAAGATAGAAAATTAAGAAAAATTCCATGATATACCAGAGCATAAGGAAGATTCAACCACCAAGGATCAATATCATTCTTTGATCGATTGCCACTGACTTTGTTAGCCACTGATTCCTTTTCAGCTTCATGGAATAATACTTACTTTCTGGTGCAAGGAAGGGAAAGAATAATCTATACGAATGCTGACTTATTTCCAACTCCAACACCAACCATTCTGCATCACTGTTGAAAAAAAAAAATGTATTATACGTTGATCAAATACTGCTATGTAGTAGTGTAATTTCATATTAAGAGCTTTTTGTCACCTGTAATTTGTTAAGCTTTTGTTTAGATTCAGTTGGCAAAAGCTTTATTGTATCGCACACAGAATTTTGAAGAAAGCATCAGAAAGATGAGCAAAATTGAAGTCATTGTTACTCATATCGGATAAGTCTATTACATGCTGCATTTTCTTTTTATGCGTGCCTGATCATTTTATATTTGTGAATCTCATGTCATAGTGAAGCTTAATGAACAGCTCAAAGAAACAAAATTGTAACAAAGTTAAAAAGAAACTGCAGCATGCAAACACCAACAAAAAGTAACGAGTGTAATAGACTTATCCAATATGAGTACATAAATTCTTAGAATGATATCAATATGAAGACGTCTCATACCTGAAAAATTGCAGAATGTTCTCAATCAGCAGGAAGAATTTTTACATTATGCTTGTGGGCAAGAGGAAGAACAATAGGGCCTCCAGCAATCAGGGTCTCTTTATTGGCTAATGCGATGGCTTTCCCTGCTTCTATTGCAACCACTGTAGGCTAAGAAAAAAGGGTAACATGAGAAATTTCAGTCTCTTGATTTATGTTCATTTTAAAGTCAAATACTGTTTTTCTTTTCTGAAAATATTTTTTTTTCAATTTCATTATAAATCATCAGTTGTTATGATTTGTCAGTCAACTTTGCTATCCCACTACCTTCCCTTGTCTTTCAGTTCTTATATTATGTATTTCAAAAGTTATATGTATCGCTTCTTTTCAATAAAAAAATTGACATTTATAACTTCACTGACAAAGCAATTACCGTCAGTCCTGCACAACCTACAATTCCTGTAACTACTGTGACCGCATCTGGGTGGCGGGAAACCTGAGAAGAGAAAAATGAGCAATTCCTTGAAGATGAACAAAACAAAATTCATCAACCAAAGGCGATTGGATGCTAGGCTACCTCAAAGCTTGAACACAAACCAAGACATAAGATACTCACCAAACTTTTTAAATGGCTCAATTGTTTGCTTAACTTGTGTTGACCCTAAAAATTACAAAGCCTACGTGGCGCGCAGGCCGAGTAACTAATAAGCTAACTACGTTCTTCGGTTGAATGCGGGGCGTGCCAACTCGTCGGCTGAGCTCGGCCGAGGAGTAAAATTTGTTGATATTGCGTTGAGCGCGATGCTGACTTCTTTATCTTGCGACTGCGGCCGAGGAAGGAACAAATCTCGGCCTTTGGATTCTCGAGCCTGAAGACAAGGCTGCTAGTTCTACAAAGTTCAATATCAAATTCAGCTCTCAAGGTGCCGAATGTAGTAACTTGGTAACACCTCACTTCGCCAAGAAGGCTAATGAGATGACCTCTGCCAATAAGGATTTGAAAATCCTTCTCGACCGAGACTTGGATAGATAACCAGTCGGCCTCGACGCAGTGCTGTTTATCCAAACTGAAGGTGCTTCGGGAACGGCTGATTCTACGGCAACAGTGTTGTTTATCCAAACTGAAGATGTTCGCCGGTTGCCTTCACAGTGCTGTTTATCCAAACTGAAGATGTGTCGGCGGAAAAAAGAAAATAAAAAAAATCTCAAAATGTTTAAGAGGTTTTGCGCAGAGCAGTCGTGTGTTGAATTGGAGGTGCTTTTTTAATTGTCTGTCGCTTGGTATTTATAGAGATCTGCAAGCCAAAGTCGCGAAAACCAATCCTAATTGTACTGTGACTGTAAGTCTTTATTGCACACATTGTAGACATCAAAATTTCGGTGAAATGAATGTTGATCAATAATTAAAATTTCAACGTTCACGTGTCACATAAATTTTACATGTAGCGTGTGATTCAACAAAAAATCGAAATAAATTGGAAAAGTCATCAAATATGACACGTGTCAATACCTGGCAGAAACGATTTATTTCATCTGATTATTTAAATCCAAAAATCAAGTTTTGGAATTCTATAAATAGGAGGCCAATGCATTCATTTTGGGAGGAAGGAAGAGGAAGGAGAAAGGAAAAGGAAGGGAGGAAGGAAGGAAGGAAGAAAGAAAGAAGCCTTGAAACTCTAAAGCTCTCAAGCAAATCCCGAAGGATCAAGAAAGCAATCTTCGTTCTTCGTCAAATCCACCTTCAAGATCAAGCCCCGACGGCCCTTGAAGAACTTCCACCAACTCAAGATCAAGCCCCCGACGGCCCTTGAGGAAAGTGTTCATCGTTCATCATCCGTTCAATTCAAGATCAAGCCCCGACGGCCCTTGAAGAACTTCCACCAACTCAAGATCAAGCCCCGACGGCCCTTGAAGAAAGTGTTCATCGCTCATCATCCGTTCATCCTAAGATCAAGCCCCAACGGCCCCTTTGGATCAACAACCTCAACAAATCCACACATCCGTTCATCCTTCAAGATTAAGCCCAGAAGCCCTTGAAGATCCGTTCATCCTAAGATCAAGCCCCAACGGCCCCTTTGGATCAACAACCTCAACAAATCCACACATCCGTTCATCCTTCAAGATTAAGCCCAGAAGCCCTTGAAGATCCGTTCATCCTAAGATCAAGCCCCAACGGCCCCTTTGGATCAACAACCTCAACAAATCCACACATCCGTTCATCCTTCAAGATTAAGCCCAAAAGCCCTTGAAGATCCGTTCATCCATCAACCTTCAAGATCAAGCCCAACGCCCCTTGAAGATCCATTCATCAGCTGTGCATCCTTAGATCAAGCCCCGACGGCCCTTTGGATCAACAACTCATCCACAAACCCACACCCTACGAAGATAGAATCAGAGGACCAAATTACAAAGAGATTGTAACCCCAAAATCATTAATACAAAATATATATTTTGTACACGTATTCTTGTCGCTTGTTTCAAGGATTATTCGTGTTTACAAATTTGGCACGCCCGGTGGGACGATCTCTACCTCTCATCTCTATCCTCAAATCATCAAAAACGCAAATGGCATCAAGAAAGGATCAAGCTGTTCCTGCAATCAAAGCAAAGAACAAGAACATCATCGCCGCAAGTGGTGATATTTCGGGCATCATAACCCGAAGTAAGGCAAGAGATCTTTTTGCCGCGACTTCCGCCCCTGCATTAACTCTGTCAAAGGAACAAGAGCACCTGAGGTACGAGCCTGTGATCACCCTAGCCTCGCTAAGGGCATCAAAAGGGGAGAGCCCAAGGAAATACTCAGAGTCCCTACTCTCCGACGCTGATTCGAGCGGCAGTACAACCATGCAAGTCATGACCACGAGAGCAACTTCAATCGAGGAGCAGCTAGCTCAGATGAATGAAGCAATCGCAAAGCTCACACGAACTGTGGAAGAGAAGGACTTGCAGATTGCCGCACTTGTCAACCAACTAGATGCGCAGCTTGACGTGAAAGTCGACCCAATTGTTGGCCTATTAAAGAAAGAAGGCGACGAAGAAGAGGAGCCACCAGCGGAGAAAGTCGAAGAGAAGCCGAAGCTAGACCAAGCAACGGCGTCCATGGGATCTCTCTCTATCCAGCAACTACAGGAGATGATCGCAAGCACTATCAAGACACAGTACGAAGGAAGCTCGCATGACTCCGTACTGTACTCAAAGCCTTACTCCAAGAAGATTGATGCTTTGAAGATGCCAAGGGGTTATCAGCCCCCAAAATTCATGCAGTTCGATGGAAAAGGCAACCCAAAGCAACATGTCGCCCATTTCATTGAAACTTGCAACAATGCTGGGACAGAGGGAGACTACCTCGTCAAACAGTTCGTGCGTTCGCTAAAAAGTAACGCTTTTGACTGGTACACTGACCTCGAACCTGAGTCTATCAACAGTTGGGACCAGCTAGAAAGGGAATTCCTCAACCGTTTCTACAGCACTCGTCGTACTGTAAGCATGCTAGAGCTAACCAGCACGAAACAGTGGAGAGATGAACCTGTCGTCAACTACATAAATAGATGGCGTTCTTTAAGTCTGGATTGCAAAGATCGGCTTTCTGAAACCTCTGCCATTGAGATGTGCGTTCAAGGCATGCAGTGGGGACTACACTACATCCTTCAAGGCATCAAACCACGAACATTTGAGGAGCTAGCCACCCGCGCCCATGATATGGAGTTAAGCATCAACCATCATGGGAAGAAAGAACAGATCGCCGACTACAAGAATGACAAAGTTTTGGGGCCAAAGGTGGATAAGGCTACGTGGAAACCCACCAAGGAAGCAATGACGGTCAACACAACTCTAGTCAAAATCCCTACACGAAGCAAGGCGATTCAAACCGAAGTTTTTCGTGATCAAGAGATACGTAGACGCACTTTGAAGGAGCTTGAGGAGAAGACTTATCCATTCCCCGACTCTGACGTGGTTGCCATGTTGAAAGACTTGCTTGACAAAAAGGTGATCGACCTCCCTGAGTGCAAACGGCCAGAAGATATGAACCGTACTGACAATCCAAGGTACTGTAAATTCCACCGCTTCATTAGTCATCCGACGGAAAAGTGCTTTGTGCTAAAAGATCTCATCATGAAGTTGGCTCAGAAAGGGATCATCGAGCTAGATCTTAATGATGTGGTGAAGTCAAACTATACCACCGTTACTTCTGGCTCTTTGAACTCAAAATCTTCACCTCAACCGCTGGGGGCATGCTCCAAAACCATGTCAGTCAAGTCAAGTAAAGTTGAAGGATGGACTTATGTCACTCCAAAGAAAATGCACAAGAAACATAGGCCTCCTCCACAAGTTCACCAATCGGAAAGGGGGCAAAGCAACTACCGTCAACCTTCAAAGCTACATGAAAGTGTTGAGGATGATGAAGTTATGACACAAAGATCGTCCGTTGCCATCACGATGCACGATTTCTTCCCCAAAGACTTCTTCAATCACTCAGTCAAGACTCCTTGCTATAAAAATTGCGAGGAATGCTTCTCTAAGAGCGTTTGACAAATTCAAAAAGCTCCTCGTTCGCACGAGCCTAAAAGGTGACAACCAAAGCTCCTCGTCCGCACGAGCATAAAAGGCGACAACAAAACGCTCCTTGCCTGCACGAGCTGAAACTGCAAACGGCACCAAAAGCTCCTGGCCCGCAAGAGCATAAACTGTGTACGGCAAAATCATCATCAAAATCATCATCAAAACCATCACTCATTTGAACTACGTTATGACTTGATCCCTTCTTTGGAAGAGTACGTAGGCAACTTGAAACTTCAAAACTTCAAGTACAGTCACATCAAAATAAATAAATAAATGTTTCATTAAAGAAAGTCAATATTATTACGTTCTTTGTACAAAAAATTACATGTTGTTGGTTTCAAAAAAAAAAAAAAAAAAAAAAAAAAAATATACATATGTTACTATGTATTAGGAAAAAAAATATATATATATATATATATATATATATATATATATATATTCTCTACTATAAAAAAAAAAAAAAAAAAAAAAAATTCAGCAAGTCCTTAAAGTCTAAGCCCAGCGGCCGAATCGGCCTGGTCATTAAAAGCTTTCCAAGTCACCATTTGCAGCTCCTCGGCCCAAGTCACCATCTTCTTCTCTCCTTCTGCTTTGCTCTCTTCTCCCTTTCATTTGAAATCCCCAAATCCCAAATTCCAATCAAATCCCAATTTCCCTGAATCCGATTTCCAATTGATCCCAATGGCAGCTTCATCCCCACGCGAAGAGAACGTGTACGTCGCCAAGCTCGCCGAGCAAGCCGAGCGATACGAGGAGATGGTTGAGTTCATGGAAAAGGTCGTCTCCTCCCTCCCCGAAGAAGAAGAGCCCACCGTCGAAGAGCGCAACCTCCTCTCCGTCGCCTACAAGAACGTGATCGGTGCTCGCCGTGCCTCGTGGCGCATCGTCTCCTCCATCGAGCAGAAGGAGGAGAGCCGCGGCAACAGCGACCACGTCGCCACTATCAAGGAGTACAGGGCTCGGATCAAGAACGAGCTCTCCAACATCTGCGGTGGGATTCTCAAGGTTCTCGAATCCAAGCTTGTTCCTGCGGCCAACGTTGGAGAGTCCAAGGTGTTTTATTTGAAGATGAAGGGAGATTACCATCGGTACCTCGCCGAGATCAAAAATGGCGACGAGAGAAAGACCGCCGCCGAGGACACCATGGTTGCCTACTCCACTGCTCTGCAATCTTCCTTGGCATGACCGAAAAGCTTTCGCCCCGCAATTTGTTGCAGAAAACAAGTCATTTTCTTGAGGGACTTTTCGAGTGGTCGTTCAAAGACGTACTAGTCTGCCTCCAGAGCTGCCTCTCGTTCTTCGACCACGCAGACTCGTCCGGTCTTTTAGACAAACTCATTACTGCACTGCTTGCAAAGATCGCTCAGAATTTTGACGTGAGCAACCTTATTGACACGTCGCCTACCGAAGACGAATTGAAGCAGTACGACGGCTCCGATGCCAAGAAGCCTTTGCTCATGGCTATCAAGGGATCAGATCTTGTTAATATCCGTAAAGTTCTTGGACCTCATGCCAAGAACATACAATTGATGTCAAAGGTTGAGAACCAGGAGGGAGTTATCAACTTTGCTGAGATATTGCGAGAGACAGATTCATTCATGGTTGCCCGTGGTGATCTTGGAATGGAAATCCCAGTTGAGAAAATTTTTCTGGCACAAAAAATGATGATATATAAGTGTAATCTTGTGGGTAAGCCGGTGGTCACTGCCACTCAGATGCTTGAATCCATGATCAAGTCTCCACGGCCAACCCGTGCTGAAGTCACTGATGTAGCTAATGCTGTCCTTGATGGCACTGATTGTGTCATGCTTGGTGGTGAGGGTGCAGCTGGGTCCTATCCAGAACTCGCCGTGAAAATCATGGCTCGTATATGCATTGAGGCAGAATCTTCCCTTGATTACAGGACAATCTTTAAGGAGATGATAAAGTCGACGCCCCTTCCAATGAGCCCTTTGGAGAGTCTTGCATCCTCTGCTGTCAGAACAGCCAATAAGGCCAGAGCTAAACTCATGGTTGTGTTGACACGAGGTGAGAGCACAGCCAAACTCATTGTTGTGTTGACACGAGTGATGAGACTCCGGCAAGACATAGCCTGATCTACAGGGGGTTGATTCCTCTATTGGCTGAAGGGTCTGCCAAAGCTACCGATGCATAATCCACAGAGGTGATCCTGGAAGTTGCTCTGAAGTCAGCAACAGAGAGAGGATTGTGCACGCTTGGGGATGCTGTGGTGGCACTTCATCGCATTAGAGTCGCCTTTGTGATTAAGGTCTGTGCGATGACTAATACTATAACCCAAATCAACGAGTTCGATGAAAGGTTGAAGTTGTCTGAGCTTGTGTGACTCGGTTGAATTGCTGAATGCGTTGAAGCTGTCGGAGGAATGGCATGCATAACGTTGGCATGGGCTCGGTAAGAATTCACGAGGGGGAGTCTATTGGCTGTGCTTAGTGGCTGTGATCTGCCCTCTGCTCATCACCTAGCGTCGCTGTAATTCCTCCACTTCAGGCTTGACACCTTGCACTACCTCGAGCTCGTCGTTCTGGCCACCTTGATTAAAATCAACGAAGAGCTTCATTGGCCGCTGTCAAACGACTAGCCGGTCTTCAAACTCGACGCCTTACACTCTGCCCCAAGCTCTGGTTGCTTCTGCACTTCCGCCATGGCTGCTGCCTTTGAATGTGATCAACAAAATCAAAGTTTGTCAACTCACACCCAAAGATCTCCTCCGTCCACCTCCACCATGGCTGCTGTCTTTGAATGTGATCGACAAAATCAAAGTTTGTCAACTCACACCCAAAGATGTCCTCCGTCTTCTCTCGGACTCGGCCTGGGTTTTCACCCACAAACCTAGCTTGCAGAGCACCATATATATATAAAAAAAAAATAATAATAAAATAAAATAAAATAAAATAAATAAATAAACAAAATAATAATAAAGAAGAAAAGTATTGATAGTGCTAGGCGCACCGAGAGCAAGTATACAACAAAAAAAAAAAAAAAAAAAAAAAAAAAAAAAAAAGGAAAAGGAAAAGATGATGCGTGCCACTATCAGCAAGTCAAAAGAAAAAGAAAAAAAAAGCAGTGGCAACATAATTATTGCAAAGAAGAAATTTGCAAAAGTTTGATTGAAAAAAAAGAGGGCGACATAATTATTGCAAAGAAGAAACTTGCAAAAGTTTGAACACATCTGGGTGATATATATGTTTTATTTGTATTTACCACAATACATTACATAAAACGAAGCATGTTCATTGATTTTCGAGAAATTACAAGTGCGAAAAAAAAAAAAAAAAAAAAAAAAAAGGAAATGTATCTAACAAAGAAAGAGAAAGATGGAGCTTTCACAAAGGTTGTTCACGTGAAGCCCCACTACTTGGCCAAACTCCAAGAGCCGGAGGCACCGAAGATAGATCATTCGAGGCCCCAATACTTGGTGGAACGCTTGATGACGCCGGAAAAATGTGCCTCTGGAAGAAAGACGCAAGCCTTTGACGGTCACTTTGAATGCGACCTTGAGATTCTTGCATTTCATCAAGCTTCCTCTTCATGCCCGACGAATAGTTATTTGCAAGCACATGCAAACTTCTATTCTCGTACTTAAGCTGTTTAATCTCCTGCTTAAGATCTTCCACCTCTGCCATCAATGATTCCACCTGACGGGACCGAGCAAGCAGGCGTTGGCCCATGTTGGACACAGAGCCCGCACACTGAACACTAAGAGCGAGGGACTCTTGAACGGCCAACTCATCGGACCGTCCCGACAGCAGCCTACTATCTTTTGGAGTAAGGAGGTTCTTAGCTACTATTGTAGCTGTTGTGGCATCCTGCATCACGGAGTCTTCACCTGTAAGAGGACCGTTAGAAGATAAGAAAGAAGGACACCATACATTACCTTGAAGCGGCGCAACCGGATCACTACTGAGACTCAATTCTAAGCTAAGGTTCGATGGGTTAGCCATTTTTCAAAGGTGTTAAAAGAGATGGGTGGATGAAGTTAAAACTCAAAAGGCCGGAGATGATTTTCAGGAATGAGCAACCTTCGAAGTGTGCATGTTAGAGGTGATCAATACCTCTATAAAAACGAAGAGGCGCTTGCTCAGAAATCGAAGGGCCGCTTGTTCAAAAGTGAAGAGACACCGCTCTGCAAATCTCAAAAGCTGGATTTTTCGGCGTAAGTTAGGCGACGCTTTCTCGGCTTTCCAGAAAACGCGTTCAACTTTGTCAAAAGATCTCCGACAAAGTTGAAAACACGTGGAGACTGGCGACGCTTTCGCGGCTTTTCAAAGCACGGGTGCCACTTTGTCAAAAGATCACGTGGAGGTCATCATCGCAGCTACACGTCTTTAGCTGACAAGCGCAAAGTTCAGCGACGCTTTCTCTGCTTTTCAGAAAACGCGCGCCATTTTGTCAAAAGAGACGCTCGTGCAGAAATCGAAGAGGCGTCGTTCAGAAATCGAAGAGGCGTATTCAAAGATCGAAGAGTCATCACTATTTCAAAAAGCCGGATTTGCGGGATCAAAACGTTTGTCGACAAGGGTAAAAGAACAGTACCACCACTTGTTATTGGGAAATCCCTATATATGTCGACCTTCATCTTTTATGGCAAGGCAAACCTGCAAACAAGAAAAAAAAAAATGCCCAACTCTTCCTCACCTCCGAGAGTACACTCCCAGCAAAACATCTCAAAATACTCAATTTTTTCCTCTTCCCCAAAGATGATACCAGATGCCTGGAGTACAAATGACCCAGGAGGAAACGGTAGATGGAAGCATGTGCTGATTCATTCACCGCTTCTTCAAAAGCAAAAGTATCTCATATCATCAAGGGCGAAAGCAAAGGTATCTCATATCATGCTTTTTCCCTGTCCTTTTCTTTGTCCTTGCTCTTACATGCAGGAGAAGGGGAAATAGAGTTATCAGTCGGAACCTGAAATCAAACTTCCGACCTGGAACTGATTGCCTGGAACCTTTGCCTGGTTGCTTACCTTACATTGCTCTCGAGTACTCATCGTCGCGGAGAAGTAATGTTTTGAAGCACCATTTAAATGCAAAGGTTGCATTCCATTCCTGCATCAGAGGACAAATACTACACGAGAAGATGCCAAACCTGCATAAGGAAATACCACTTCTGCAAAGGGAGCAAGTAAGACAAGTGAAAATGATACATCAAAGCATGTGGAGACAAGCACAACAAATATATGTGCTGATTCATTCGCTGCTTCTTCAAAAGCAAAGGTATCTTATATCATGCTTTCTCCATGTCCTTTCCTTTGTCCTTGTTATTACTCGCATGACAAAGTGAAAAGAGCAATCAGACGGCACTTGGAGTCAGTCTTCCGATCTACCCTCTTCAATACGAATTGGGGAAAGATTGAACAAAGAAACAGGTCATCACTTCCACCTCCTGCTTGCCTGCCATGTGTCTGAATCCTGCTACCCAATTCAAGAGTAGCACAAAGGAAAATCAACGGTAGGGGAAGACCAAAAGAATCCTCCAGCCCAGTTCAAGATTAAGCCTGTGGAAAATCAACAATTGGAGGAAACCAGAAAATCTTCCAGTCAAGCTCAAGATCAAGCCTCGATGGCCCTTGAAGAAATTTTCAGACCAACTCAAGATCAAGCCCCAACGGCCCTTGGGTTGACATCTACATTAAGGGACTTCAAAACGCATCTTCTACACGTGACAAGCACATGCCTACGACGCGCCTTGAAGTGGGGGCATTTGTAGACATCAAAATTTCGGTGAAATGAATGTTGATCAATAATTAAAATTTCAACGTTCACGTGTCACATAAATTTTACATGTAGCGTGTGATTCAACAAAAAATCGAAATAAATTGGAAAAGTCATCAAATATGACACGTGTCAATACCTGGCAGAAACGATTTATTTCATCTGATTATTTAAATCCAAAAATCAAGTTTTGGAATTCTATAAATAGGAGGCCAATGCATTCATTTTGGGAGGAAGGAAGAGGAAGGAGAAAGGAAAAGGAAGGGAGGAAGGAAGGAAGGAAGAAAGAAAGAAGCCTTGAAACTCTAAAGCTCTCAAGCAAATCCCGAAGGATCAAGAAAGCAATCTTCGTTCTTTGTCAAATCCACCTTCAAGATCAAGCCCCGACGGCCCTTGAAGAACTTCCACCAACTCAAGATCAAGCCCCCGACGGCCCTTGAGGAAAGTGTTCATCGTTCATCATCCGTTCAATTCAAGATCAAGCCCCGACGACCCTTGAAGAACTTCCACCAACTCAAGATCAAGCCCCGACGGCCCTTGAAGAAAGTGTTCATCGCTCATCATCCGTTCATCCTAAGATCAAGCCCCAACGGCCCCTTTGGATCAACAACCTCAACAAATCCACACATCCGTTCATCCTTCAAGATTAAGCCCAGAAGCCCTTGAAGATCCGTTCATCCTAAGATCAAGCCCCAACGGCCCCTTTGGATCAACAACCTCAACAAATCCACACATCCGTTCATCCTTCAAGATTAAGCCCAGAAGCCCTTGAAGATCCGTTCATCCTAAGATCAAGCCCCAACGGCCCCTTTGGATCAACAACCTCAACAAATCCACACATCCGTTCATCCTTCAAGATTAAGCCCAAAAGCCCTTGAAGATCCGTTCATCCATCAACCTTCAAGATCAAGCCCAACGCCCCTTGAAGATCCATTCATCAGCTGTGCATCCTTAGATCAAGCCCCGACGGCCCTTTGGATCAACAACTCATCCACAAACCCACACCCTACGAAGATAGAATCAGAGGACCAAATTACAAAGAGATTGTAACCCCAAAATCATTAATACAAAATATATATTTTGTACACGTATTCTTGTCGCTTGTTTCAAGGATTATTCGTGTTTACACACATCTTATCAAAATTTGCTGTCATCTTGCAACCTGGTGCAATCTTGCTTTGACTAATAAGCATTATCCATCTTTATCATAATCTTTATCCATCATCAAAACCTTCTGCCAAAGACCACATGCATGCATGACTCCTTCACCAATTCCTAGATAAGACCACGTGCACCAATCTCATCCATGAATTCCAAGTCACTTTGTACCGCACCACCCACTTCTATATCAGAAATAGGACTTAGGTTTAGGTCATAATTAGCCACGTAAGAGACTGCATACACTTAAAAGTCTTATATAATGAGCCACTTCGAATGTCTCTGCGCAATCCTTTGAAGACGGATCAGATCATTTTTTCCAAAACAACCAATTAGATATATCAAAAATTTGGTTTTAACTATCCTAGTTATTATTAAGATATAATTATTATGATTAAAAATTATAACATTATCTCAAAACAAAATTATCTTAACTTTCTTATTTGACGGTCTAGAATCATGCTTACTCAACGGTCTCGATTGTACGGACCGATGGTGTAATTTTGGGTCCAAACAACTTGACAACTTTTTCCTGCAATTCATAAATAAAATCATTAGATGTAGTAAATAAAAATTATAAAAGAAAATTTCTCACCTCAGGTATGCAACAGAGGTTAAATTTCTAATATAAAAAATAAAACTCTTGCATCTAGAGAACCTAGTTAGTCCTCAACACGAAACAAACAGATTTTAAGCAGTTAAATGCACATCCAGCTAGGCAGCTACAAAGAAACCAATTCGAGGCTTAAACCTAGCTTATGACTACATTGAAATGACAAAGAAAATCCATATTAACAAACTGATAGAAACTTGTTTCCCACTACTAATATGGAAAATCTTATTAATGGCCAGGCCAAAACGAATATGAAAAAAAAAACACCTGAGCAGAGCCTAATCCAAATACATATTTCTCCATTGAACTCAACCCTTCAACAGAAACCTAATAAAGGCAAACCACAGTCTTGTTAATTTCCTCATCGTAATTGGGACCAAGCATAATATTCCTTGCAGACAGCGTGCTTTTCAGCTTCGGAAGAACCTCATTGTTCGACGTTGTGCTCTCAATCTTGATTTGATTGTTGCCTTCATGGCCTTAGCTTGGTTCATTGGAGGGGTTGATAGATTGGGGTTCTGATTTTCACCATCTTCCTTGAATCTTGAATTATTGGTTGGGTAAATCGAAGATTGATTTAGTCCCCTTCTCTTTAATTTCACATCTCTGAATCAGCAAAAAAAAAATAAAAAAAAAAATAAAAAAATAAAAAAAGGTTAAACTGTGCCGAATTTGAATTAAAATTGTACAGTGAAAGAAGAGGATTCGTGGGTTTTTCTTGTTACCTCTGTATTTTATCACGGTTTGGTCAGTGCGATTTCTTCACGTTTATCATCCAATCTGAGACCAGTAGGTTCCTTCTTGGGAGATTGAGGCTCCTCCTTGCTTGTTTTAACATTTGGACTCTCCGATTCATCTTTCACTGGCCTTGACTTCGACACCGTGTTGCTCTCCGGCCTAATTGACTCCCGCTGAGCCTCCAGCGATGCCAGAACAGCTTGAGAGTGGGGCAAATCATACGAAGACCCACCATTTTCAGCTGGAGATCCTGGGTTTTTTTTTCCAAATTCGGACAGGAAGTCTCAACCTTAGCAGGCTGATCAGCCACCACTTTGGCCGTCGAAGAAATGGGACTGTTTTGAACCACCGGGTTCTCGTCGTCATACTTCACAGGTCGCGGTCTTTTCCTCTTGGGCGCTGCAGATTCGAACCAAAGACACCAAATTTCCATCAGTCACGATTAAAACACAAAAGAACCCAGCTCTGTTTGCTCACCGAAAAACCAAGCGATTCAATCCCTTTTTCTCAGTCTCTCAGCAACCAAACGGAGCATTTGGGGTACCAAAAAAGAAATGAACAAAACCGAGAGCTCCGTGAGCTTATAATACCCACCGCCGGCGGACATGGAAGTGACAGAGGAGCTAGGAAATGAGTCGTTTTCATCAAGAAAGTGAAAGAGAGAAGGCAGCGGCAAGGGAGTTCTAGAAAGAGAAACTGGTTTTAAGGAGAAGAGATGAAATTTTGGGGAGAGATTGAATTTTAGAGAGAGAACTCGAGAAACCTGAACAGGAAGGAAACGGAAAGATTTACTGGAATCTTCGAGAGAGAGGTCGAGAAATCTGAGAGAGAACACGCGTCCACCATCAGCAACTCGTGTCCATCACTGACAAAACAAGGGTATAAACGGAATCAAACTGTATAATAAACAGTGATCACAGAAACAAAGAAGGGGCAAAAACGGAAGAACACAGGCGAGTGAACAGTGTTTCAAGCGTTTTTCCCTTTTAGTATATACTAGAAAGTTTTGCCCGCGTTGCTGCGGGATTAGAAATTATGTGAAAAATTATCTTTAAAGGTATAAACACATCAACTTATATCACACCTAATTGAATTACTACAAAAACATATTGACGTACTTAATATGAAAATCCATAAACTATTCGACAATATGAAATCCAACAATCTCTAAAGATGAAAAATGAATGTAGAAATTCAGCAATCTCTAAAGATGAGAAACGAACGTAGAAATCCTACCTCATATATATATATATATATATATATATATATATATATATTAAAACAATTAACAAATTCTCAGTAAATGATCACAAAAGAGGTATAAAAAAGTAATTCAACTTCTTAATTTAAATCAGTTCTCACCATAACAAAATAATGATATTGTTTTCACATTAATTAGGATTGATTTCGATCACCAGCATTAATAAAACCAGTGACTCCAACCTAAGTAAGCAAACGACCGAATTAGATCCAAGCCAACCAACTTCGAATTTAACCAAATAAAAAAAATAATTACAATTAAATTAACCTCTTCTTCCCATATGAAGTAGTTGTTGTTCCCTGTTTTACCTTTGTGAACAGTACATTGTTCACTCTCAACACACAAAATAATTCTGTGATAACACACACCAAAAGCAACAATAACAATAAACAAAACATACTTAATCTCCACATAAACATTAATCTCCAATCAGCTGAGTCAATCGTTCAATGTTCTTTAACACAACTATGTGTCAATCTAACACTTTTTTTTTAATCATATTTACAGGAAGGAGCAAACATATACACATAACAGATGGTTAAGTTTTAGCTGATAATGGAGCAATGGTAACAAACACTACAGCTGTAAGTCAAAGGTTAAACTGGTCTTGCAGGGTATGAAAAACTGTTTATTCGAGTGTTAGTTTGTCAATAATTGATAAGTTTGTGCATTGATAGTTAAGACGAAAGAAAGACTAAGGCCAATCAATATTCAAATGCAATATTTTTTTTTATGAAAGTGAACGGAAGACAATGTGAGAACAGCATACCTTATAATGAACGATGATCGGAGACAATGTTGTATGCAAAAATTCGTTCGCCTGTTTACTGAAGAGTAAATGTGTGACATAGTACGCTGAAAAAGAAGAGTAAATAAAGTATAAGTTGAAATATAGACTCAGAGTCACATAGTAAAAAATTTAGGAAATAAATGAGTAAGAATAAACTGAAAAAGTATGCTACAATAGATCAACCATTATGAATCTTCTTGTACAACAGAAAAGCAATTTTTTCTTTCTTTTCCAAAAACATATTGTTGACTACAAAAATTACAAAACCTACGTGGCGCGCAGGTCGAGTAACTAATGAGCTAACTACGTCCTTCGGTTGAATGCGGGGCGTGCCAACTCGTCGGCCGAGCTCGGCCGAGGAGTAAAATGTGATGTCGCGTTGGGTGCGCTATCGACTTCTGTATCTTGCGAATGCGACCGAGGAAGGAACACTCTCGGTCTCTGGGTTCTATAGCTTGAAGACAAGGCTACTAATTTTACGGAGTTCACAAGTCGTCGGACCCTGATTCGGTCACTGTGATTATATTCGTAAGAGTATAAGCACGCCGAATCGAGACCAAACTATATGGGCACAGGTACTCGAATGTGATGTATGTCTTGATGGTAAACGTAGTTCGGCCGTCGGAATGCCTTACCCTGAAACTTACTTGCGAGTATCTAATCATAAACTCACTCGGCGTCCAATACGCCGATCAATGCAACTCGTAACACCCAACTATGCTGAAAAGGCTTAGTTAGATGACCTCTACCAACAAAGGTTCGAAAACCCTTCTCAGCCGAGACTTAGATAGATAATCGGTCGACCTCGACGCAGTGCTGTTTATCCAAACTGAAGGTGTTTCTCGGTCGGCTGATTCTGCGGCAGCAGTGCTGTTTATCCAAACTGAAGGTGCTCACCGGTTGCTTCCACAGTGCTGTTTATCCAAACTGAAGGTGTGTCGGCAGGAAAAGAAAAGGAAAAATCTCAAGGTGTTTGAGAGGTTTTGCGCAGGGCAATTGTATGCTGATTCTGAAGGGTCTTTTCTATTGCGTAATTTCTTGTATTTATAGCACCTCGCTCCTTGAATCCCATTCTGATTTGGATTGGGAGTCCTTGTCCCATCTCACCTTTAACTCGAACAATCCTAGTCCTACTGGGATTCTGAATTCTCCTCCTTTTGAAGCTTTATCCCTTGCCGGTTGAGAATCCTGGTCGCACCAGGATTTCCTCGACCTTTCCTCATTTATCTGGACTACTTAAGATAGGATCTGGCCGACCCTGCCAGCTGGTCCGAGTTTCATTATTTGGCCCATAGCATGTGTTATTACCTTGGGCCGAGCACATCTTGCTGCTCGGCCCAATCATAATATTTTGGGCCCAAACATTGCCCCCTTGCTTCTGAGGTCGCCGACTGTCACTCTTGGTCGGCTCTCGGCCTTGAAGAAGCGAAAACATTTATTGCTTTTCTGGACCTTACTTCATTAATGACCATTATTCCTGCATATTTATGAGACATGATTGCACCTTCCTCGTTGCCCCCAACGCGTGGCCACGCGTCAATTCTCCGCCGTGCTTAAAAGCTTCAATCATGGGCCTCGAAACCGTGCACTAACTGAACCGTCTTATCCTCATTAATACATTGAACCTGTCGCCGCACGCCATCGTGCGTCCTGGATTTTCGACCCCTCGATCCCATTTTCGCAGGTTCCCAAAATATCCGAAATGATTGCAAGCTTTCCCGGTTAAATTTCCCCCCACTTTTGAACGAACACTTTTCGAATTCCAATGCCTTTCGAAATTCAGGCGTTTGATCTTCTATCTGAAAAGCCTATAAATACCCACACTTTACTCTATTCGTATCTTACGCTTTCAAAAAATCCCAGACTCTCAAATTTTAATCATTCTTGCTTGTTCAGACCAAACCCTCTAGTTTTCCTTCCTGCAATCTTTCCAGTTCTTCCAGATTATTCTAATGGCTTCCTTCATCGCGAAACTTTCCGAGGAGATCAACAAATGCAAAGACTTCATTGATCGGAGCACCGTCAAGACGCTGCGATTTGAAGAGGACATGGCCACCACCCACCAGATTCTAGGTCCCCTCTTCAGAGACGCAGTGCCATCGTCCGTTACTGACCTGCTTAAGGAGCAGTGTTTAATACCCCTGCTGCAGGGGTTCGACTGGTCCAAGTGGACTCTGGCGCGGCCTCAGGGAGCTTGGCCCTCGACCACCACGGCTTGGGCTGCCTGGGTCGACCGGATGAGCACATTCTTCTCCAAGGAGTGGAAGGCTCTTGGCATCTATGATGCCATTATGCTGTCAACCATGGAGATTGCCATGGATAAGGAGCTGCTCCTGGCGGCCATGAGTCTATGGTGTTCGGCCACCAACACCATGGTCTTGCCTTTCGGCCCCCTCGGCCCCACAATCCTCGACGTCTCGGCCATCCTTGGGACTTCCTCGACCGGCCTTCCCATTGACGCCGCCCTTTCTGGATACCCTTCCCCTCTCGACCTGAAGGCGCTATTCGACGAAAGGGCCGTCGAAACACTGAGCCGGGGCGATCGGGAGCCCTCAAGGGAAGAAGTTCAAAAACTCCACAAGAACTTCTTCAACTACAACACCCTCATCCTGCATTTCGCCGGTCGAGGCGAGGAGGGCCTGAGGAAGGGAGAGCACGAGGCCTTCCTCTTCTACTGGTACAACAAATTCGTCTGTTGTACCAGGTCGAACAAATGCCTGGTGGAGAACATGCCAGTGGCCCAGGCACTGGCCAATGGTCGCTTGCTGGCGCTCAGTCCAACCATACTCGCCAACCTCTACCGTTGCCTGGCTGAGGCGACCATTGGCAAAATTGACCCGCACCAGAACAGACCCCTCTGGGTGTTCCAACTCTGGTTGCAGGTCTACTTTTCCACCCTTCGACCGGAGGTTCCTGCCTTCGACCGAACGGCTGCCCTCGGCCTTCAACTGGCCTCTCGACCGGCGTCTCCTCACCGAGCCGACGAGGTCTTCAAACACTTCTTCAGCCTCGACGTCCTTTCGGATGACGAGTTCCTGGTGTGCCGGCGCCAGGAGTACCCTTCCTCGCTCAGGCTTCCTACGGCAACATGGGCCGCGTCCGAGGATGCGGACATTCGTCAGCGATGGGGGTCGTTCGTTGTGGCCCGTGACCTTCCATTGGGTTGCGATGCCAGCCGAGCGGGCTGGGAGGTCTACCACCCCAATTTTGTCGCCCGGCAGCTCGGCTACCTCCAGGGCAGCCCAGTCCCCCTGCTTGCTTCCTGGTCACTGCTGAGTCGGGGACGTCTTACCGGCTCCTCTGAGAGGGAGTGCAAGGCGTCCGACCAGGAGTTCCAGGAGAAGTGCAGGAAGTTCCGGATCCGGCCGGCGGTTCCTGAATCTTTGGGAACCGACACCTTCGGGGACTGGTGGGAGGAGTACACTGGCGACTTCTTCGGATCCCCGGCCGAAGATCTGGTGAAGAAGATCTTCGGCGACCGTCCTCGGTCGACGTCCTCGGCTCAACCTAAGGAGCCTGCCCAAGGTAGTCTTTCCGCCTTTCTTTTTTTTTTTTTCGTTTTATAACTTGAGCCTTGTTACTAATCACCTTGCCCTTCAGGGAGTCGTGTGCCGAGGAGGGTAGAGGTGGTCGCCGCGGTGGCGAAGGCGAAGAAGGTGCCGAAGCCCATCGCCACCGAGAGGGCAGTCCCGGCCAAACGCCCCCACCGAGAGGCCGAGCCGGAGGTTGATGCCCCTCGCCCTTCTAAACGCGTCAAGAAATTGACGAAGAAGGGCGACCGGGAAATTCATGTCGTCCCTAGTGATACTACAGGGACGGCCGCTCCCGCCGGCTCTCCTCCTTTGCCGGATGTCTCGACTCCACCGACCGTCTTTTCTCCTGAGGCCACGGCCGCCCCCATCGGCGCACCAGCTCCAGCCTCGGAGCCGGTCGTGACGCCTGACGCGGGGAAGTCGGCAGCACCGGTCGAGGGACCCTCTTCTCCAACGGTCGTTCTGGAGGTATAATCCTACTTCTCCCCTTGTTCCTTTCGGTTTTCGGTCATGATGCAGAAGTTTCTTTTTGTTCAGGATGTCGAGAGCGAGAGCGAAGAGGTCCCCTTGGAACGCCGGCGCCGACCAGTCAACTCTCCTCCCGTTCATCCTCCGGTTGTTGAGGCGACCGTTCGACCGATCCCTCCTGCGGCGGATTGCGACAAGAGACCCATGGCCGATCTTGAGGCCACGGCCGAGTCGCCGATCCACCCGCAGGACGAAGACCTCCCCATTCCCCCGCAGGAAGTCTCCTCGGCC